TTAGGGTTACTTGCGAACTCAAGTATTTCCTATCAAAGTACTGCCACATCAATCTATTTACAAAGTTTGCTTGATCAACACAGCCATAGAACCTGTTTTTTTCCATGCTCAATTACCTAAACAATCAGATCATTAATTAGAAATAGGTAGCATCACATAGAGACCCAAGCTTGCATCAAGAACAAATCAAAAAAGTAAAATAGGTATGGTAACGTAAAGCGGCATATGTATGCAAGCAGATTGTACCTTTCGAGCATAACCTCCATAAGCCACTCCACCAATTAGGGCTTGTACAGAATCAGTAATGCCCACAGCATTTGTATTTTCAATCCCATTCTCTTTAAAATGAACAAGAAAGTGATTAGAGAAGAAACAGCAGTAACCATAAGAAATAGTCATGTTTGATTGCATATAATCAATCCAGCAAAATGAAATGTAATGCACTAGTTTCATTAATCCCAGTTTAGAAAGCAAAAAATTAAGAAATTGCGATTCTAGTTTCATTGATTGAATTGTTGAACTAAAAATCAGAATTTCATTGTGAATGCTGTGCAGAAATAACTACTTACAACTTGATAAACCACAATTAGCTGAAAGAAAATATTACTGAGTTAAGGAAAAAACTAAGCTGCTCATCAATTTCTGGAATATGAAAAGGAATAAATACCAGAAAATTTGATTGCTTTGAAAAGCCCCACTTTCTTTAAACTATCGATTGTGTGCAAATTTGTCCCACCAGCCAGCTGATAAAAACCTTCAAGACCAGATTAATTTCTTATGTAAAATTGAACAAGTTAGTTTATAAGAAAACTATTCAAGAACATACCATGAGGCCTGTCTGGTAAAGCTGCCAAACGCATTGCGAAGTTAATTGCTTCTCTTGTTGCACCTCGGCCAATGTCTCCACTCATGGGCCGACCATCCAACTGAATCATTGATCAATCACAAGAAGGAACAATAAATTGCAATTTTTTTTTAATAATGGTATTAAAGATTTTGTAAATGCTATGATTTGATAAAATATATGCATAAAAATAAGAATTTTATTTTAAATATTATATGAACTTTATTTTGTCAAAATAAGGATGGTTGATATGTTCAATTTATGAAAAAAAAAATAAAATTGTGAGACATGATTAATATATATATATATAAAGGCTTATTGTAACAATATATCAACAGTTGAATTAATAATTAGCAAATATTAATTATGGTTTATGAACTTAAAGAATAGTATAAATTAACTAAATAGGATCTATGTTGAATAAAGAGAGCAAACTAACGGAAATTCTGATGTTATGTATGTTTGATGTAATAGCTCTAAGGTTAATGGCCTAATTGAAATGATAGGTTAAATATCAAATTAAGGGTTTGCAAACAATATGTATTTGAATAAAAATAATGATATATTAATAATATTTTATATACTTAAATGAATGAAAGATGTATCACCAAATAATGCGATTAAAGTATGGTAAAATAATTTCCATGTATAAAATTAATTCATATGAATGTCTTATACGTATTATAAATGTTATACTAATGGACATTGCATAAGGATTACAGTGGAAAAGAAAGTCTTCTGAAGTTAAGATAGGTAATTATATTTAAAATTTTGTTCTTTCAAATTTAATGCACTGATTGGTAAGGCTCTTTATCTTCGTTGAATAATATTATTTATTATTAATACAATATTGTTATCGAAAATTGACTCCATTGATTTTCCCTTTCCCATGCAAGTAATCCTCACATTGGAATGAATGTGCTACTTCTCACTTCTCATATTTCAAACTTGAATGATTGTTTCATGAAATATATATGCACAAGTTAATATTTAAAGTAAATCCATGATGAAAAAAAATGCGAAGAATATGTAATAAAAATGACTATATGTGCATGTTGATAGATGAAGTTTACCTCTTTATGATATTAATAGAGAGGATGCTAATGTACTTGCATATTGATTAATACTACTTTCCACCTCAGACAAGAGTAAGAATAAGACATACACCCCCATTGTTTTGACAGGGATATATCAACTATAGGTGAGTTGATGTCATTCTACCTCAAATGACAATGGACTTGATCAACACCCCACTGTGCCGACAGGAAGCGTATCAACTAGGGATGAGTTAGGTTTTTTATAGATGGTGCTCTTGAGATTTATTAATATATAAAATGTAAGTTAAAATTTGATCAGCTATGTTTAAGATGAATGTTTTGACTATACTAATGTACATCATAATATCTATTCAGCAAAAATTATGGTCATGGTTGATAGTCACATGACAAATGCAATTTCCAATTTTCTTACTGTTGAAGATGAGACTTTGATAGGAAGTGGATACAATTTCCTCGAAATCAATGAACAACAATCAGAAATTAGGAAGAAGAACACATCTAAACTATTTTTACTGCAAGATATATGAAAGAAAATAGCAATGTATAATTGGATCTTCAAAAGGAGAGGACGATCTAGCTCTCCTAAATCCTTAGCCACAAGCTAAAGCCCAAATAACCTAACAACAACAACATAAAGCCTTTATCCCACTATGTGAGGTCGGTTATATGAATCCTTTTTTCTCCATTGTGTCATGTTAAAGATCAAATTCTCATCTAAATCTAACAAAGAAAAGTTATTTCTAATATTTTCTAACCAAGTCTTTTTAAATATACCTCTACATTTTTTAATATAAGTCAAGTCTAATACATCTACTAAATTCAGCAAACTCCAAAACATAATCCTGAAATCACCCTTGTTAGCCTTAAATAGGCTCCTATAATTCCCTCCCAAATAAGCCCCGTTTCCCTAAATAATTCACTCATATTTGAATTCAAATTAGATTTATCTTAGAACCCCCCTTAGTTCCTCCTCATTTTCCTAAATAATTTATTCTTAGATTTTGAATTCAAAATTTCAAATTAGATATCTTGCCAAAAATAATTCTCTCCCAATTAAAATTAAAATTCTTCTAAATAATTATCCTTTGATTAAGAACCTTCCTAAAAAACTCTATCTTGATTAGGAAACTTCATAATTCCCTCCCAATCAAATTGGCTGGTTTATCAATACTCCTCTCCCAAAGTGTCACATTGTCCTCAAAATGAAACAAAGGAAATTGCTACCAAAACACTTGACTAATAGCACTAGACAAAAAAATGGACTGACACTAGGTTAATTGATCCCTGCCTTTAGCATCTCCCTGATAAATCTCTCGATCTCATCCTTCTGGATATGAGGATAGCGGTACAGACGAACACTGATATGTGAGAATACTTCCTTATAAATGATAGCGTGCTCGTATTCCCTCATATGAGGCAACCCCTGAACTGGCTGGAACACCCTCGATATTGTCGTAGGAGTAACTGAACCATTTTTATTGCTTCTATCTTTTCTCAATCTTCTTCACCTTCCAAACTCTGCAACTCCACCAAAAATCTCATTACTTCACCCTTTTCTCTTTTTGAAAGTGGCTCCAAAATCACCTCTACGTCATCTATCAATGTAACCGGTAACGATGAGCTGACAGGAACCAGATTTTCATAGGTGAGATCATTGAATTCTTTGTTCAGTTGTGATTGAGAAACTACACAGGTTTTGGAATCTTGCTCGGTATAAACAGGATTTATTAAACAAAACTTTGCATCAGTTTCAGCTAATCGAACAATTTTGTTAATACTTTGTTGACAGTTCTGCTTGGCAGGAATTGAATGTCGTTGATGTTGAGAATGTCCTTTGACGTGAAGATCCAACAACTGCTTTTTCATGCTTTCTAGGTTGAAAAATTTTTACTCCATTGATGACATTCTGTCCTCAAATGCCGATTTGAGTTAGCCAACATTACCTTTAAGATGCTCTTTCAAGGTATCAACTCTCCTTGCCTCCATAGGTCCAAAAAAAAGAGTTATGATACCAATTTGATAGGAAGTATATATAATTTCCTCAAAATCAGCAAATGATAATAAGAAATTAGGAAGAAGAACACACTTAAGCTATTTTTTAGGAAGAAGAACACACTTAAGCTATTTTTATTGCAAGATATATGAAAGAAAATAACAAGATACAGTGGGATCTTCAATTGAAGAGGAAGATCCGGCTATCCCAAATCCCTAGCCGCCAACTAGTGCCCAAATAACCTAAGAATAAACTAAATTTAACAAACTCCAAAACATAATCCTGAAATAGCCCTTATTAGCCTTAAATAGGCTCCCATAATTTCCTCCCAAATCAACCCTTTCCATAAATAATTCTCTCATATTTGAATTCAAATTAGATTTATGTCCCTAATTAATTCCCTCTCAATTGTAATTAAATCTTTCATAAACAATCCCCCCATAATTCCTCCTTTTCCTTGAATAATTTCCTTTTAAATTTTGAATTTAAATTAGATCTCTTGCCCTAAAAAATTCTCTCCCAATTATAATTAAAACTTTCCTAACCAATTCCCCTTTGATTAAGAACCTTCATAAATAGCTCCCTCTTGACTAAGAAACTTCATAATTCCCTCCCAATCAAATTGGCCGGTCCATCAGACTAACATAAATGTCATTTCTTTTTCTTTTGAGTTACTATGATTTAAAAATATAATTGATCCACTAAGTAATATTGATAACTCAACATTGTATCTAATCAATATTATTGTATCTAATCAATATTTTTAAGACAAGATCTTGTAAACCATATGAATAAAAGAAGAGTATCCGTGCATCCTAAAAGTACAGCTACAAATAATAGACATTTAAAAAATTTTAAATGTTAAAATAACTATATTAAATTTATTGTTACTCTAGTAGAGAATGAATTTTGTGATTTAATGACTCTTTCAATACATTAGAAGTTGTTATTATAAGAAAATATATGAACAATTATTTTGGTATTAGTTAATGGTAGCAAATGAAATTTAAAAACTCGATCCTACCATATATTCCCTCCAAGATATTCCAAGCTCATGGGTCGAGTCATGACAATAACTATAAGAGGCGCTCTATAAAACTAGTATCTTATTTTTTAACACTTTATATTCACATGAAGAGCCTCAAAGAACAACTAAGCAGCAGATGCGCTACTACAATCTTTATCAAGTACCAAATTAATTTCACAAACAAACCTGCCATAAATTGTAACCAATGAGACGAGATTCCATTATTTTATACATTTCAGTCATTGTGGTGAAAGTCGACTTTCCAACATCAGGCATGCTAACCTGCATCAGTAGCAGACAAAAAACAAAAAAGAAAGCTTGATGAGACTGAAAAAAATGTCGATAATTTAAAGCATACCATTAAAGAAAAAAATCAACTAAAGTTGTTCCCAATGAAAATATAATCTACTCCATTGTTAGAGAGAAAAACAAAAAAAAAATAAAAAATAAAAACGAAAACAATTAACTAGATGAACAAAAACAAAAACAAAAATGGCTGCTTTTATCAAGAGTCAACGGCATGGATATACTAAATATATAAATTTATACCTATGTAAGCTATCAAATAAAAAATATGCCATTACTTCTTTGAGTAGTCAATCATGTAGCTGGGATGTTCTGCATAAGGAGTGAAATAAGATCTTATATGGAGTATGACTGCATGCAGTAACCCCAAGCCTCATTTAACAAAAACACATTTTCCTTGTAACTCATAGCACTTTTTGTTTCAAATAGAACCCTAATCCCATAGAACACATTTTCCTTGTACATTACTAGGATAAACAAATCCCCAATTCCTTGAAAGAATAATATATTAAATGTACCATGGCTACCAGAAACAAACATAAAACTGAGGTTCGACTTACTGCTACCAGTTTCACATGTTTGATAGAATCTCCCAAGCTTTCCCAAAGCTCATTGAATAGATCGATGCGCCTATCACAGTTTTATAGCATCAAAACACACAAATGTAGTATCAAACAATTGAAGAAAAATTTACCATATTCTATGAAAGTTATAATATTAAAAGCTAAGCGTCTCACCTGCCAGTTGTATGTATTTCTATGGCATCCACATCATTCCTCTTCAAGAGTTCACTTGTCGCAGCAGGATCCCTAATGTAAGTCTTAGCACCTGACAAAACTCAAAACAGGCTTACAGTTGCAAGTAGACAGAAAAATAGAATAGCATATTAAACAGACAAAAGGCTACCTCAGATTAACAATTTTAACTTTAGAAGTTTAAAAAAGAAGGATGAAAAATCAATTTAAATCAAAAGAAAACGGAACAAATCTTGCAAACTTCTGTTTACTAAATCATCATAACATTCAAATACTACGAGTAACAGATTTAATTGAAAAGTAGAATAAATGAAGTTTTACCTACTTATTTTATCAAATGGGCAAACTGGGAAGCAACGTCCACAACCATAGCAACGTTCTGTGACAACCCCGCCCTTAAAAAGTATAACTTAGCACTAAAGTAGAAGAATGGAAATTGAAAATAATTAGCTTTATCTACAAATTGAAAAAACAAACACGCTTAAGGGATCAATTTTTAACACCTGGAGTTTGCCTAAAGAATGGTTGCCTGTTGATGAATTCTCTAGTAAAATTGCATTTGCAGGACAAACCTTTTCACAAGGTCTTGAACAGTCAAGCGGGCAATCCTCTGGGTCAAATTCTGGTAAAGGATAACATGATAGCTCTTAGACCAGAGTATTTGCATGGTATCTACTCATCATTTAACAAACCACAATATTCCGAGCAATAAAAAATGCGCAACTTGGCATTTGAAGTTATTGTGCGTCAATTTCAAACTAAGAAAATTTACATAAACAAATGCAGATAAATAATGCAAAGTAGTCAGAAAATTTGCACATTGTGCATCAATTTGAAACTTAAAAAAGAATTACATAAACAAATGCAGATAAATAATGCTAAGTAGTCAGAAAATTTGAACGGTGGTAGCAAAAGGATACGATCTGAAAAACAAGTGGAAGTAAAGTTTCTAATTATCAAAAGTATGTTTAAAGATTTAAAAAAAAAAAATTAAAGGGAACTGAGGACATCCATAACAGATATTCCAATTTAATGATATTTAGCTTTCATGAATGCATCAAACATCATTAGTAATGCAAAATTGTAGAAAATAACCAACTCAGTGGTATGTTCATTGATAAAACAAATTTGGAGAATGCAGGAGAATCTAAGTTGCGACTGAACATCAAACCTGCTATGGAGGCCTGTCAACTAGTAAAGTGCCTTCCGTGTCTGTGTTGGACATATATTGAACATGTAAATTGCTCCAACATGCCCCGACATGTATTTAACACTTTTAATATTGTGCCAGAGTAATTTCACTGTAAAATTGGGTTCTAACACGGACCAGACCCTAATCGAATTGCAAAGACATGGCAAGACACATATGTCGATAGGAAAATATACCATGAGTAACACGCCAAAGGCACCTTAATGAAATAACATCTCGTCAGTCTCTCCTACATGTGAACCATAAGCGCCTCTCTATCTTCTTCCATAAGCAAGATAGAACGAGAAGTCTTGACTTTAACAAGTTTCATCAATAGATAATTAGAGATCGCTGTAAAGCCTTCCATTTCCTCTATTTATTTGATCATCACATGTGTCTTTCTCATTAGAAGAGTCATTGATGTAGATCCAGATGTTGCGAGATTCGTAGCTTTCCTCCGTTGCCTAGTATACGCTTCGTTGGTCGGCATCTTCTCAACATGAAATGACATATACTTTCGGTGTGTCCTAATCTCTTCTTTGTAAAATAACCAAGTTTGCCAGCATCCTAAATTGAACCAACCAATGTTACTAAGCATGCTTGACACTGTAATTGTCCTTTTTTTGAAATCTACTTAAGGAAATACATTGGCTTTTAGCTTCTATATTTCTTTATGTTTGCCTGCGATTTGGCATTAGAAAAGATCACGAGAACAAGAAAGACACATCTTTGTGGTTCAGTTGTAAGCTATATCTCTCTTATCATGCCAATTGGTATACAAACACTTGTTTTGATTTTCTCTTGATTTACAAGGTCAAAAGTAAGATATTGCAGCTTCTTTGGATTTAGAACTACTTTTGCAGAGCATGTCTCTATTACTTCTAAAGTCAATATGGATGGAAAAGCTTGATGAATGATTTATGGTTCTAGCTCCCAATAATTAGCTCAACCATGCTCCTTTTGTTGCAAAAGAAATTGAAGTGCATACAATTTTGTCATTTCACTCAAAAAGAACAAAATCACTCTTCCATGGTGTGAAGATTTAGAATTTGTGCAGTTAATCATTGTCCTTTTATCAAGAGGAGCTTAGAATATATTCAAGGAGAGGCTACGTTGTGGGACATTGGTGGGAATACATTACTTACAATGGATGATACTGGAATAATTCAAGTTGTTAATTTCTCTCTTGATGGGCCATTTAAACAAATTGTGTTATTTCAAGATGAAGGTGAAGTCATCATTGAAAAGGGTATTGATAATGATGGTCATAGAATTGAGTGTGTTACCACCAATTATTTATAGTCATCAATATACTCATATAGCCATATTTTATATCATTATTTTGAAGAGGGTATTGCTTTTTTTTTTTGGAGGTTTTTTTCAGTGTAAGAAATATTGACATTGGCACCATATATGACAACTGAAAGGGATTAATGAATACTAATGTTTGAGTGTTGTGAACAAAAAACATTATTGCATGTGATAAAGCATTTCTTTTACCATTGATAGTGCTTACTTTTATTTTATCATTATTAAGTTTTTTACGAATTTTACGTATATGATATCACACTTCATCAAGTGATGCCTTTAATGAAAAATACTATAAATTTTATGTTTTGTTTTAATAATTCATAAAATACAATGAGGCAATTTACCTATACAACACTCAAAATATAAAAATAAAATAAAATTTAACACATCCACATTACAACTCAAAGTCCCATTACCATGACGTCGGAGATGTTGATGCTCTAGCTTGCTGCATCTGCACTTGTCGATGCCATAACCTATGAGCTCCTCCCAACTTACACCCATTGATGCCCTTGCCTATGAGCTCCCATGCGATTTCCTTTCTGAACCTATCAAAGCACTCACCTGCACGCTCTAACAGCTCTGAAGGCATCAACGGGTCGAAAAGGTGGCGACGGGCCCAATGACATGCCCAACAAGATCCAACGAGATTTGCTAACTATGTTAATGGAGTGCTATATGGTGTAAATAGTGAAATTTAGGTGGGAAAAAAATAAATGTTAATGTTTTGATTGTTATGTATGTAAATCCCTAAATATAATATTCTGTTTATGGCGTATCATGTCCTTCTTTCTATAGTTATGCCATGTCGTATCTATGTCTTGTCATGTCTGTGTCACCATATTCGTGCTTCATAGGTCTTAAATCAACTCAACAAGTAGGTTGAAAATTGGATGAATATTCAAGTTTTGAAGGAGTGAAAAAAAACCTAACTCCACGATTTATTGAATGAAGTTAAATAAGCTACATTGACTACCATACTGATGCAAAATTACTTTAAAGTTTCAACTCAAACCCACTAACCCCAATATACCAAATATTTTTCAGAGTCCACCAAAGCTATATCTTTAGGTGTAAGAGCAACATCGCCATTTGGCTGGATTAATGTATTCCATACAATACTCATGAGGCAATTATTTAATTTAAGGTAAGGGCTGCCCTTTCTTTAAAAAAGATCCTTAAGGTTCATTTATAGATTGATGAATAATAATATAATGCTTTTGGATGCCTATGGATTTCGATATTGATCCCCTTCCCCAGTAAAGTGAGAATGATCTTCCCATTTCCCTCTATTTAGATCTCTCTATATACTATCATCCCTCCCTAAGGCATGTAATCCTCTCATTCAAACCAAGTTGTTAATTCCTCCCTCACTGAACCCTTGAAGGCTAGGAAGCAAATTCAGCACCTAGCTGCAATCCATAGTTACAGCAGCAACCCAAAACAGCCCATTGCATCCATGGAACTTTTCCTTCCATAGCCATGAAATCCCCCACTCAACCAGCCCTCATCCCATAAAAACCTCACTGACTTTCTAACCTCAAACCATCCCAATCAAGTGTTCAATCCAATTGCATAATAGCTGAATATCTAAAAGTGCACGCTTAAAATGTATCACTGCACCTGCAACAATCTTCCTCTTTGCTTCCGTTGCATATCATAAAAATTTGAGCATCTCACCTCTCAGGGGTTTCTACAAGATGCATATAGGTAGCTATAATCAAATAAAAGTACAAGTTCTCTTACAGAAGGGCTCATTTGGTTCATGGTAGGTGAAAATTATGTTTTAAGAGTGAAATTGAAATTCTCACTTCCTAGGAATTTTGGAAAGATTAACTAAGGTTCGTTTTTGGCCCACCTCAAAGATTGCAGAGTGGGAATTATTATTATGATGTAGGCGAGAATCTAACCCAAAACTTATGCTACAAATCCAAAACCCTCACCCACCAGACAAGCTAGTAGTTTAGTACCCAACAATGGGGAGAAATATGAATACAAGATGAAGGCCTGTTGAGAAGCTAGGAGTTTGAAATCTATTTTAACATCTAACCAAATCCATCCCAATGATGGATTTAACAAATTTATTACTTTCTAAGAAATGAATTATAACTTCAAGAAAACAAATGAGCCTCAAGAAATTAATATACAAATGAATATTAAAGGGACTATACAATCCCACCTGCTTTACGGAAGTGGAGATCTTCTTTGTCATCGTTGACACTAATCATCACCCATGGCCTCTCAACTGCGCCAATATTCATTGCTGCATCTATACCATCATTCACAGCATTCACAACCGATTCATCAGCCGCACAATCAATGCAATCCACTGTGCAATCCCCCCATTCCAAACCCAAAAAAAAAAAAATGCTATCAATTAAAAGACTTCACTATATCAAATAAAGGGAAATTTGTACAGAGCTCCATAGAATTTGGTCTTTTGCTGAAAAAATATGATACTTTCAAAACTTAGCAGAAAAGTGCAATAACTTTTGCTATTTTGTAAGCAAAAACATCAAATCTTTAATTTACATCAGGGTTATCTTGAAACCCCGGCATTGCTCCAAGGAATTGTTCAAACATCTAGTAAATGCCGTGTAATGACTCCATAACAGTAATACCAGAGTTTTATAACAAACCCTAATGGTGGCATATGGTGAAGATTAGTTCTTATTGTTATAAAATAATTAAAATTATTATTTTTCTTTGTTAAAACTTGAAATTATGACCCATTTTTACAGAGAGTTTTATACAAATAACCGATCATTAATCTCAAATATCAGAATTTAAATCATGGGCTTCCATTTTCACCTCCAGCAAGAGAGTAAACAAGAGATAGATTCCTAATATCCGCAGCATCCTGCATCAAAAATGGCATTCAAAGATGAACAAGCAGGCGTTTTTAGAGTTTTATATAGAAAGATGGCGATGACAATGGTGAAAGGGGAATACAATTAGCGAGGTTGAGATATTGAACTGGAATAGATTTCACCTCGAAACTAGCGCCGCAAATGAGCTTAACCCAGTCGCCGCGGCGAAGAGAATCGATTGGGCGAGGTTGGACTGCATTGAGAGGATGGCTCCTGACTGTAGAGTTCACGACAGATTTGATGGCATCGAGGCGGTGAAGACGCCGGAGATTCTCGCCACTCAATGAAGTTGTGTAGGGAGGAGGACTGGAGGAAGCTATGGCGGGAGACATTACCGGAGGAAAAAGGTCAAGTGAAACATTATCCAAGCCTTAGGAATCTTTATTTATAGATCTGACATTAAATAATAAATTTTTGTTTATATAACACCTAAATGTTTATAATAAAATAAAAGTATTGCTATTATATTATTTTGTTTAAAGGAAATTTTGTGTGAGCTTATTTATCAGCCTAATACACTTATTGTAAATAGATTTGAATATAAAACTTTGTGGTATTTTTTGTTGGAATATATATATATATATATTATTTTTCATCAAGCACTTAGATTATATTTAAAAAAATTTAAATATAAATTAATAAATCAAATGACTTTCAATTATATCATACTTATAGTCAAATCAAGCAGCTCAACAAGATGAGTTTAACGAGCTCAAGGTCACTTAATTTTGACATTGTTAAGACATTAAAATATTTGATAATAAATTATGATTAAGGGAATTAATATGGAATGTAAAATGAAGTGCTTTGAATTCTGATTAAATTTATCAAAATATCTTCCTAAAAAGCTTATAAATAGAGCATCATTCTCTATAGATGAGAGAGGCTGAAGAGCTTAGAGAACTAATGAATTCTCATGTATTTTTATGATATCACTGTCGAAGACTACCACTAGCAATCACTGTCAAAATTTGACCTTCTTGTCTAGTTTTTCATTTTCTGCTTGTGGATATCTAAATTTTGTAATCCCAAGAATGAGAATTAATCTTTTGTTCTCAATTATAAATAATCTCACCTTTTTCAACTTGCGAATAGGGAGATTCTTATATCTCCCATTATATAGTGGATTGATATAAATGGATTTTCCCCTTTTTGAGTTTTCCATTTTTAATTTTTTTTGTGCGTGTTAGATTTTGATACAACGCTAAGATATTAAATACTACTTTATCTATAAACTTTTCTAAAATGTAACAATAATATTAGTTTTGTTAAAGATTTTTATATATTGAAAGATCTTTTAAACTTTGTGGTTGGTGAATTATCACTTGCAATTATTATTGAATGAAAATGTAATGCTCATACCTTATTTCAAAATGTGTTGCTTTGTTATTAAATGAATATTTGTAGCTAGCAAAGGGAATAAAATAGTTTAAAGTAGCCTTCAACATCTGAATTTGATTTTTACTCCAAAATTATTTATAATGAATTTATAGCAAAGGACTTTCTTAAAACTCATAAAATCAACAAAATGTGCATCAACTAATAATAAGGCCTCATCTCTATCTTGATTAGTTAAAAAATAATCAGTGTAAGCATCAAACTCTCTATTTGTATTATGACTATTGTTAGAGATTGAATGTAACATTCCAATGTGTGACTATCATTCCTACCTTCCATACTTCTCAAACTCGTTAGATCTTCTCACATATCTAAGCCTCTTTTAGGTTTCGTTTGGGACAGCTTTCTTACTGCTTTTTAAAGTAGCTTTCTAGTATTTTTTTTGTACTAGAAAGCTGCTTTAAGAAGCAGTAAGAAAGCTGTCGCAAACAAAGCCTTAATATCTCGTAAATAATTAATGAAATTGTAATGGAGATTTTATCTAGTAAATGATTAATGATATTATAATGGAGATTTATGACATCTTATATTGTAACCATATTATCTTAGCTCAGCCATATTCAATAAATTGTTTAACCATTTCCATCATCTTTATATCACCTTGTGATGAGGTTGTATATTTTTAGGTGATGTTCCATAGATATGGTAATATAATTCAATATTACAACTTATTTGCCAATAGAAAATTGCATTAATATCTTATCTAAGCACTCAAGGTAAGTATATCATTGTCTACCATAATAATTTTCTTCTTTTCACATTCATATTTCTTTCTAGATTGTTCTTAAATGTAGTATAATATCCACCAAATTTAAAATTTTGATAATAATCATTCATTTATTTCCATTATTATTTCAATTCATAATAATGAGTCATCCAAAGTTTGCATTGACAATAACAAATTTAAGCCTGAATGATTTAATGAAAAGCAAAACAATGTATTTTAAATAACTAAGAAGAAGATACCCCACAATGTACTCACAATTCACTAAAAAATGGTTGGATGTTAAATAAAATAGCATAGTAAGTGCCTATTACATCTAAACAATCACTACTCTTTTGCAATTAAGTAGCCTTGGATAGACAGTGTCCCAACATCATTTAGTTATGCAACATAGTATACAACGTACATTATTGTAATCAAAGCATCTCAAAAATGACATCACAATCATTAGAAATTGTAAATAAGATTATCATCTTAGACTAATGGAAAAATAATGTCTCATGAGATGGGTAATGATATCAAGGTGGTTGGGAGTTTCTCGGAAGTTGAGAGGGTTTGCATATGAGATAGCTCGAGCAAGTTTGCACACTTGCCAAAGGAATTCAAAGCTAAGCGAAGTGAGATCTTTTGAATTTATTTGTGCAAACAGACAGTGATGCGAATAATTTAAGCACATATCCATAGAATTCGAAGTGGCACAAAAGTAGGCAGAGTTGGTGCACAAGATGAAGATTTGCATTGTGTTTGCATGCAAGGGACAAGTGCATTTGCACTTGGGATGAAAGTTGTCTTGAGTTCATGCATCTAAGAGTAATTGGGATTCAAGAAAAAGGGTAAAGGATATTAATGGTATTGGGTTCCTCTTTCCTTCACACTTGAACTATGCATATAAGATTAAGGTTTCATTTGGGATGACTTCCTCACTGTTTCTTAGACTTCCTCACTGTTTCTTAAAGCAGTTTTATGGTACAAAATTAAAATTTTTATACTAGAAAGTTGCTTTAAGAAGTTGTAAAAAAGCTGTCACAAATAAAGTGTAAAATTATTTCTGATTTTCTTATTGGTTCCTTTCTTCTGCATCTTTGGTGGATGAAGACTTATACCTTATTTTGAGGAAATAACACTAATTTTTTAGGATCTTAAAGCCCATTGGTGTTGCAATTTAGAATTCTATTTCATTCTCATGCTTTATTTGAGATAGCTTTCTTACAGCTTTCTAAAGCAGCTTTTTAGTATGTAAGTTTTTTGTTCAAAAAATTTTATACTAAAAAATTATTTTAAAAATCAGAAAAAAAAAAAAAATTTATCCCAAATGAAGCCTTAATTGGTGATTGGGATTTTTTTTTCCTCTACTTTGATCCATGAATGAATGGCATTATTAATGCCCCACTGTACCCATTTTGAACTTACCTATTAATGTCCTCCTCTCTTATATCATTTCTAACAATAATTGGAGACCAGAACTTGTGCATTAAAGTTTTTTGGATTGCTATGATGCTATTTATCGGCACTCATAAAGAATTTCAATTTTCTTTATTTTTTTAAATTTAATTTATTTATGAAATAATATTTGATCATAAGATTTTATTTTGAATGGATGTTAATTTCTTAAAATAAATATGATAAAATATTCCTTACAACTTAGTTGCTTTAAATCATATTAAAGTAAATTCAAATCTTAGTATTCTTTAACTAAATTCAAGAAAATGATTTTAAAAATTTCAAATATATTTAAGATTTTTCTAAAAATAAATTAAATATTTTTAATATAATTCAAGATTATTAAACTTGAAATTGATCGGAATATGCAAAAAATTACTAAGTTTTATTATTTTTTAATCATAAATCCTTTAAAAAAATTTCTAATAAAATTTTTTTCTTAAGATATAAATTTAATTTACCTTAATGAATCAAATGATTAATATCCTTCTCGCTGTTTAAGAATATGATACCAAGCTATTATGTGCTAAGATATTCATGGCAACAAGAGTGTGAGTTTATCCCTTTAACATTACACAAAATTTAGCACACAAACATATGAGTAAATTGTAGCCCATAAGAGACAAAATTTTTTATTTAAAAAGACTTAAAAGAAATATACCATATATTTTGTCCCAATTGAAGTAATTACACCATATAGATCAAGTGCTACAATAGTCTATCCATCTTTGTTACAAGATAAGGTGGGATACAAGGCAATGTGACGTAATCTAGCATCAATTAGTGATAGATGACGAATGACGCCATCATTTGGTGGTGTAAGATTACACTCAGTTGTCAATTGCGACATGTGACAATGAGAGTTAAAGGCAGAAGATGACGATCATTAACAGTGGGTGATAAGAGGTGTTATTAGCAAATGTTAGCGGAGATGGAGAACGGACATTAGAGTTAGTAAGTAGAGCTTTAGAACTCGAAAACTCTCAAAATTATCTCCTCTAAAGTACTTGCAAATGTGTATAAGCAGGGTCTTTTAGTAAAATTTTTTAATATGGTATTCTACTTATTTGGCTATCAATATTGTAGATCTAAACAAATATGATAGATAATTATGAAGAGAGAATTTGATTAATTACAACCTAATTGTAAATGGTAGACATTTTTTCTTCCAACTCCATATTTAATAATCAAGCTTATCAAAGAGTGGTATATAGTTAGCCATTTTCATCTTTTAATAGAAAATAGGTAAGAAAAACTATTTAAAAGGAAGCTTTCTTGAATGAAATCTATAGAACTCACAAAGAGGCCTAAAATGCTCAATTAATTTAGAGATAATTATGTTAGATCTATCTAAGTTACATGAGGTCCCATATGATCTGTGAAAATGTTTAAAATATCATTCATGTATTTGATAGTAGTTTCATTCACTTCTTCAAATAAAAGCAAATCATTAGCAAATATAAGGAGTGAGATCATCAAGTTGATAGCTCCTCTATGGCAGTAGCAAATCCATGGAAGCAATAAAGAAATAGAGAGATAATGAACATTTTTGGCAAAGTCCAAAGTGGAGTTAAAATAGGGGTGTAAAAAATTGACACTATACACCAACTTGATATGAAAAAATTTAAGTTTGGGTTGACCTGATTAATAAACAGATCGAATGGGTTGACCTGCAAACTCATTTTTGACCAAAAAATAACAAGTTAATGTTTTTTTTTAGCTATAATCTTCTTATTTTTTATCAAATATACTAAACTTTATAGTTAATCTTTTTTTTATATATAATGAAAATGGGTTAACATATCTGAGTCGGGTCATTCAAGTTGTTATTGAGTTAGGTTTGGGTTGATGTTTTTGATCTATTTATTAAATAGGTCAGTCATGATTATAGATTCAGGTCAGACCAATTTCAGGTCAAACCCGAACCTGTGTCAACCCATTTTAATACCTCCTAAGTAAAAGTAATCATATAATTCACCATTAATTATCATAGAGAAGGGCACCGAATAGATGCAACCAACAATCCAATTCATAAATATTAAAAAAAAAAAAATATAAAGGAGACATCAATTTATATTGTCAAATGCCTTCTTTAGGACCACCTTATCAAACCAAAATAAAAAAATAAATAAATAAATAAATAAAACATTATCCACAATGTCCCCTCCTTCCACAAAAGCTTCATGAGGGGTTTTAATACTTTTAGGAAAAAAATAGCTTTGATTCTACGCATAAGAAGTTTGTTGATAATCTTATAGAATGTATTGCATAGGGATATGGGTTAAAATCAGATTTAAGGATATTATTAAGAGCCTATAGAATAAGGGTAATATAAGTTTGCTTAAAGGAAATAGGCCTTCTAACAAAATAAAAAATAGCTTTTGGAAGGTATGACCAACAATATGTTATGCATTTTTGAAACAATTTAGCATTGAAATCATTAAGATAAGGTGATATATCATCACCTGCATCAAAACTATCTTCTTGATATCATTCTCAATAAAAATAGGAGATTTTTTACATCAAATTTAGGCTTCGTTTGGGACAGTTTTTTTACTGTTTTCTAAAGCAACTTTCTAATACAATTTTTTTTAGAATTTTGTACTAAAAAACTGTTTAGAAAGCAGTAAAAAAGTCGTCCCAAACGAAGTCTTAGAAAGAATGAATAGTCTAAAGTAGTAGCGAAGTTAGCATTGAAGAGTGTAGTAGTTGATGAATTCGAAAGCATTATTGAGAATATCGTTACAATAAGTGCGAGAAATCCAAAATTGTATAAGTTAATGCTTTAACCAAGATAAGATAATGGTCATAATGCAAAGGGGGAAGGATCTTGTAGGATGATATAAAGAATTTATCTAGTCATTCAATATTCACAAAAGCCCTGCCAAGATTTAATCCAATAGGGTTATTTTCTTGATTATTAATGAGAAAATCCACAAATGAGGAGAGTTTTACATACCCATAAGTGAATTGGGAGTGAATTTGAATAAGGAAGAATTGAAGTTTTCTAGAATTTCACTCAAGCCAAATTCTTCCATCATGTATAATGCCAAAATTATTATAACTTCCTTCCTCATTAAAAACTCTTCATCCTTTCAACATAGAGAGAATCTAAATTATGGTTAATATAGAGCTTAGTTTTTAGATGACATAAGAGGAAAATGTTGTGTTGGGTGATTAAATTCTTACACTCAGGCATTCGACTGCCACCCTACAGGCATTCGACCCTCACCCTAAATGTCTCTCAAGTTACAAGTAGCTAGTGTTAGGGAAGACATTAGGAGTTAGAGCTTGATGAGATAATTCTTTTTTACTTTGGGTTCCTTGATGAATGATGCCCAAGGAAAGTGGAGCTATAATGTTAGGTAGAACACTAGGATGAGTGTTTAGGATAGTTGATTGGTTTCAATTGATATTCACAAAGGTTTGAAGTAAAGAAGAAAAGGAAGGGGTGTATGATTGGCTTGTAAAAAGAGAATAGGAAGAAAGAGAAGAAGGGAGCGAACGAGGGTAGTTTGTTGATTAGGGGGAGGGGTATTAAATTACCATCCTATAAAAAGAAGAGTTTTGATTAAGAGGCTTATAGGATTTTGAGATGTGCCTTCATTGTTTTCCTCCAATTTTACCTCACTCACTTACCACCACCAACAACAGCAAGCCTTTATCCCACTATGCCGAGTCGGCTGCATGAATTATTTTTCTCTATTGTATCATGTTAAGGATCAAATTATCATCTAAATTTTAAATATAAACTAACTTACAGAGTCCGGATGGGAAATATCCGTCCAGACTGGGAGTGTAGACTCACAGTCCGGACAGAACTTTTCCATCCAAACTCTGCACGAAATATTTTCTCCTTTGGAAGAAAGAGAGAATAAAAATTAAATTTTGCAATACAAAATTGTTGTACATAGTTAAGTAGTGTACCATAAAACAACTTATTCTCTAGTATATATATCTAATAAGTACTTTTCCCAATGTTTAGAAGATCCAATGCTTACCTCCTCCTTGATGAAAAACATTTCTTCTTCTGCAATGTTAACAAAAAAAAGGCTGGAATTTTTTATTTCTGGGGCTTGGGAGATGAAAATACATCTCAAATTAATCAGGGGTTAAAAAGAAGCAGAAGATATTGGAATCATAACAAATATAGGCAAGTGGAAGTCAAGATTAGGTCCTCGCTAAGCGAGGAGGAAAATAGCTAAGGAAATAGTAGCGAGTTTGAGAGGCCATAAAGGCAGAAAAGAGAGCTACGATGGAGGGAAAAAAGTCTAAGTCCTAGATTTCATTTGTCACAGTTTTCTTATTATTTTTTAAAACAATTTTTTTATTTTAATATTATTTTAAAAAGTAATAAAAAATTAAGTTTTATTTGAGACAACTTTCTTGTTACTTTTTAAAATAACTTTTTAATATAAAAATTTTCTGAACTATAAATTTTTATGCTAAAAAATTACTTTAAAAAAAGTAAGAAAGTTGTCTCAAACAAAACATTAGTTAAATTGTTCTGAACCAGATGCATTGTTATTGACTATTTTTAATTTGGTGCTTATTTTAGAAAAAAATAAGGGTTATTTTCATATATTATTACATGTTATTCAATAATTTATTCAATTAATATTTCTCTTTTTATATTTTGTTAGAAGTGCATTATCTAATTTATTTCGATGAGCTAGATGCACCAAGGTGGTTCAAATTTTAATCCTTAGCTAGATTTTCGATCCACCATGGTTGAAACAACATTATACAAAACGAGCCTTATTTTAATGTGAGATGAAGGGTTCGTTCGGGATGATTTTCTTATATTGTTTTGTAAAACTGCTATAAAAAATAACTTTTTAAAATTATCGTAGAAAATAGTTTCTTAATACAAAATTTTCTTGAAAGCAACAAAAAACAGTAACCAAACAGAAATTATAGTCATAATTTGAAATCAATAAAAAAGTTGTACCAATGACGAAAAAGGATTCATGTAGTCGACCCCATATAGTGGGACAAATGCTTGATGATGATGTTGTTGTTAATGTATATATATATAATACTCGCGCTCTACACGTAATAGATTTATCATATTTTGACTAACGATAATCTTCTCAAACCAAAAAAATTATAAGGAAGCACATTCATCACTATATAAATTTCATAAAAAAATATATATTTTTTTTTATGTTAATAGATTAAGCTCTAATCAAATCAAATCTTACTTCCAAATCAATCATTTTTTATTCAAATCAAACTATACAGACTATCACCCTAATATGTCTACCAAACAGCTTAGATTTTGTTTGGGACAATTTTCTTATTGCTTCGTAAAGTAGCTTCTTAGTATAAAATTAAAAAATTTGTACTAAAAAACTGCTTTAAAAAACAGTAAAAAAGTCGTCCCAAATAAAACTTTAGTTCAACTCGTAAATAAGTAAAGCGTTTATTATAACATTCTTCAAATAAAAATAAAAATTGCAGCCCCAAGTCATCAGTAATAACCACAATCCAAGTAAAAATATTAGACTCCTTATGTGTAGAAGCTCAAATTAGAACCTTATTATTAGGGCCTGCTCAGTTCGCCAATGGCCAGGCAATTGTCGACCATGTTCTTAAGCATTGTAATCCGGTCCGTCAATGGCGATTTGATGGCGAACTCATTGAATCCATCCTCGCAGGAACCGAAGTTCGAGATCATGGAGCTTAGCATGGCGTCTCGAGTGTCGATGTCGCCAGCCTTGATGGCTTTGGTGGCGGATGCAAGGTTGTCGAGGGCGGTGTCGTAGAAGTCGACGCAGTCGTGAAGGAGCTCGAGGGTTTTTGCACGGGAATGAGATTGTTTGGTGAGCCAGAGGGTGAAGGCCTTGCCCTGGCGAGCCCTAACATCAATGGAATGCAGCAGGATGGCAAGGACGATGTTGATGTTGGCTCTTTTGAGGCGGGGAGCGATTTCTTTAATCGATTTGATGCAGAGACCGGAGTAGTCGGTGTGGCTACAGAAGAATTTGAGAGAGTTGTTCGAGTTGGTGGCGGTGGCGGAAGGGTGTAATAGGGCGGCGAGGGTGAGGACGACGGCGAGAACGATGAATACCCTCATCTTTGGGGGCGGCAAGAGAGGTTAGCGAGGAAATGGAGAATGGGGGAGGTTGAAGAGGCAGAGGGTTTAGGGTTATATGGAATGAAGGAGAGTAAATTTAGGGGAATTGATTGGATCTCCGAAGAAAAAGAATTGGGAGATAGGTCGTGGGTAACTAATTTTTTATATTTTTTGTGCTTTATTTAGGGAGATTTACATATATATATTATTTTATTTTATATTATTTACATATCTAATATTTAAAATATTAATATTACAATGTATATCATTTATATACGATTTTAATATCAAATATATAATTCCTATAATTTATTTATATTATTTATATCATCATATAAATTTTAATATTTCATTTCATGCACCCAAATTTGATTAATGGGTGGTATGCATGTAATAATAATATTTAAAATGTTAGATATGTAAATAACAGGGAATAAAGTGGTATGTATGTAAATCCCCTTTATTATTATTATTATTATTATTATTATTATTGAATTAGTTTTGAATTAGTTTGTGTTTGATTATCATTTGTAAGCCTATTGAATGTGGATGACCACACATTCTTTTAAACATATTGTTTGTTTTAACTTTTTTTCGATTTGTTATTAATTGAAAAATGTATTTAAAAATTATTCTTTTGTATGCAAACTCTTATATATATAATGCTGATATTTTCATTTAACAAAATAATAATTATTATGACGTGGCAATTTGTAAATAACTCATTTACATTTTTATCTATATTTAAGAGTGAAATTTTGAACTAATTTCAACGTAATTTCATTATAATTTTGATCATAATTTTTGTAGCAGAAGTCAGCTTAATTAAGAATAAGAGTTTCGGAGTCTTCAATATTATTTATTATACTAATTGGCGATAATTTATTTCGGACAAAATATTACTTTATTTTCTGGATAAAATTTTATTTAAGGGATATCTATATAGGTTATTAAAGGAATATCTTCATTGATAAAATTTTATTAAAGGGAATTATAAGAGATATTTCAAACAACATCAATAGATTAAAATATAGAACTTTATCATTTATTTATAAAGTTAAGAGGGTTATAACAAGCTTGTAATGAATAGTTATGTAGTAATGGGACTACTCAGAGTAATTTGATTTGGACCAAACAAGAATTTGTATTTAATTAAAATCTTTGAAAATTTGTATGCATTGTTGAAATTTTCACCTTATGTGTTTTGGTGTTGTCTTCTCTCTTTGGAGGCGTTGGGAGGCGCTGGGACGTTGTGCCAAAATGTAGTGAAACTCTCTATTTAAGTATCTGAAATATTCTCTTAAGAGCGATGCGGCGTTGTAAAAGGTAATGCTATGACACTATGTCTATAAATATGAAAAAATCCATTTTTTTTCTCATTTGGTCAGCCAGCTAGAGAGAGGGAGAGAGTTTATAGAGAGCGAAAGTAGGATTTGGAGGTCGTAAAGCATGTTTTGACTGATTGCTAATTGAGAAAGTTGTTCATCTTGAGGTAAGTTATCGTTACCTTGTTTCAGATTTCAATTTTGTGGTTTTGTATGAATTTTAAGTCTTTTATTTGGTTAGAACTGTGAAAATTGCATATTAATGATTTTATGATTTAGAACTGTTGAAATGTGCATACAAGTTTGCCCACATGAAACCTTACTGTCTTTCGTACATGTGAAATTTTGTATAACTCTATGATATATCATATACTATTTATACATGTTGAAAGCATTGACCTTTCTATGCTCATATGTCTAAAAATATGTATAAAAGAAAAAAGAATGAGAAAATGTAGGTACATCACTATTGATACTTTTGTACATTCCATGCAAAATCTGTGATATGATATTGATATATGTTGTTTATGTATGTTGAAAGTATTGATATTTTATGCTCATAATGAAAGTATTGATAATCACATATATTGAAAATGTTGATATTTTTATACTCATATTGAAATTATTAATATTTGTACATGTTGAAAGTATTGATGATTCTATATGCACATGTTTGAAAATATGTAAATAAGCACAAGGATGAAAGTGTAAGTGACAGATGATGAATGCTTTAAGTGCATTCAAATGGATATATAAGGGCTTACACATCTATTTGATTGTCATATATGCATTTGATATTCTTTAACTAATATGATATGAACAAGTTGAAGAGTAAGGAGGCAAAGGGAAAATGTGCATATGTAAAATTATATGTATAAGTGGAGGCATAAGAAGGCGAAGAAAAAAAGTGGCATGCTTGAAATTAAATATAATATATTATTTTATTTCATATTATTTCTTCTGTCATCGTGTTCTTTTTTTTTTTTAAGAATGCAAATTGCATTAATAAAAGAAAATCAGAGAACCTAGATACAAATTATTAAGAGTAAATCAACCTATCACTTTCTTCCTTCACTAATTGAACAAAAGGAGGAAGTTTACTCTCACAAAACATATCCCAAATAAAATAATAAGAAAAAGCTAAGTTAGCACAATAATCAGCCAACTTCTGTCATCATATTCAAAGAAAGCATATTTTATTATTTCTAATGTGTATTTGCTGTTGACACTAATTTTGTATTGACATATATTTAATAGTTACAAGGCACAATATAAACATTATGTTAGTTTGGTATAAATATGTTTTATTATATATGCCATGCTATAGTGATGCACAAGTCCTGATATATGTGTACATTGAATTATATAGTAGTTTTCGAGTAACCTACTGAACAAATGTTGCTCACTTTTACTTTAGTTGTACATGTTATTTTGGGAAAAAAATAATGCTCCAGTTGAATAAATACTACTAACACCCATTATATAGAACCTAAATTAGGTGTATTTACTTTATAGACTCATTATTTTGACAGTCATGATGATTGTACATGATTGGGTGAAAAGAGAGACCAAATCATGATTGTTGTGTATTACTCTTTTGATTTTATTCTAGCAAACTAAATCAAAGGATGTTGTTGTTATTTTATTATTTTATTATTTTATTTGATGATATAGAAAGACACCGTATTTGTAAATATTGAAGAAAATATGCATACAAGAAAAATTCATTCTAATTAGATTTTAGGATATGACAAAGCTATTCCTAGGAATAAAATATCAAAATATTATATGATGTGACTATTAAAGACTAACATAGGCACACAAACTAGCTGAATAATTAATGTACACATCAAACATATCTCTGACATAAACCCCTCATTTTTCGGGTAAGTCTTTGACAACGAAACTTGGATGACTTTTCCAAATTGGGTTGCAAGGTGGGTATGTGTGGGAAAGTCCCTACGAATAAGAGGTGAATTCCTAGCAATGAGTGTCAACTTCCCATGAGTGAGAGACAAGTCCCTTAGATGGTGGTATTTATAAGTTAGGGATAAGTGCAGTCGACGAAGTCATATATAAAGGCTTCAGAGGCATGTGCTTTATGTGGTGTGATTTGGATTGTATTGGGTAATTGAGTGGCATAGATCACATAGAAGTGTTGCAAGTTAATAAGTTAAATTGAGGCAAGTGATCCTTAAGCCATAGGCAGGTCTAGGTGAGTCCTTTAGAGGAGTTCACTGAGAAGGATTGATCTTTGATTCGTGCTACAATATGTGTAGAAGAAAGTGATAGTTTGACCACTAATGGTGTCAGCTATTGCTCTAAAATGTCACTAGGCAGATGCCAAGTTAGCTACACGACCCTCTTGATTGAATTCTTTAATAAGAACCTGCTAGATACCTAAGATTTATCATCATAAGCATATATGTGTATACATTTAGTTCTTTAATTCACTTCTTTAAAAAATTGAGTTGCAAAGATGGCAACTAAATTTAAGACAAGGAACAATTATTATCTTACCAAAAATTACAAAAAGAGAGTTAGAGTTATTGCCCTATCATTACTATTGCCTTGAGCTCTGAGCCCACTTTGGAGATTATTCATTATTACTTAGATTTTACATGTCACACTATCTTCAATTATAAATAGTATCGGGTTTAGCAGTACAATCACATTTCATTCCTTTAACCCTTGAGAACGTGCTACTACCTCGCTCGAGATGGCCAATTTGAGACCTTCAAGGCTTAATAATGTGGGTGATAAGAAATTGAAGAAGGTGTTTCTCCATAAGAACAAGTTGGTGGAGGTCTAGGAAAATAAGTCTAACTCCCTAGTAAATAAGATCAAGACAGTGGATATTTAGGTCAAGCTTCTATTCTTATTACCTTGCTTGGGCATGAGAACCATATATGCAAGAAATTTGTTAAGGAAAGAATTCAACATGAATAACCAATTACCAAACTTAAGAATCTTAATCACCCCATACATATATCACATCACATGTCCAAGTCTATTTATCTTCATCTATATTTAATGTTGATCATTCTCCTAGCATCAAAATGTAAAGCACGACACTGAAGATAAATCAAGTTCTCCCCTTATTCTTCAATAAGCAACTCAACATCAAAATTCGAATTTGATTACTAATATAGTTTCTTGTTCTCTATTAGTGGCCATTGCCTCTGATTTACCTATTACTACTAGTAAAATTTCTCCTCATGATGACTAATAACTTAGCTCTTGAAGTTGTTTATTTACCTATTCAACAAAATGAAGAAAATCATGTCATTAATTATAATTAATCTCAAAAAAATGCTAATGTAACAGTCAAAATTCTTAACTATTGAGATATTGTCTGCTTTGGCCCAAGAGCCTTACAGTTTTGTCATGTTGGTGTAACTTCCCACTAGGTCACCCATCCCAAAATTGTTTTAAGATAAACACGCTTAACTGCATAGTTTCTTACGAAAATTTCAATCATTACACCAAAAAGCGCATAAATGCTTAAGAGTTTAGCTTTCATCTACTTAAGTGGTTTCACAACTAATTTCTCATTGGAAGTTATTCTCCCGCCTCTTTTCTCTTATAATTACCAAAAAGTCTAATCGGAATGAATAAATATAAAAATACGTAAAATATTTATTTTTGTGTGTATGAGAATTTACATATTTAACATATAACTCTTACTATTTACTTAACCTACCACTCCTTTAATACCATCTCATGCAAAAGAAGAAGTGAAGAAGATGTTATGAGATGTCGTAAGGAAAAGGGCGTCTGTGGGACCAATAGAACGTGTAATTCCTTTGACGATGAAAAAGTGGAGAGAAAGTCGGGACGATATATGGGGGCCATTGATTGGACGGACAACATATACAAAGATCCTAAAATCCTCAAAAATGAAGAAGAGTTGAGGAAGTTGTGATAGGATCTTGCTATGGGAAAGTAGCCAACAATAATTTGGTGATAAGAATGAGGAAGATGGCATCTTTTATATACTTCAAAGAATTCAATGTCATAAGTGTAAACATTAAGTTTTAGGTGTTCAATATATAAATAAGATTACTCCATATTTCCAAAAAAATATCATTATGCAAAAAAGGCCATTTTTACTACATATTTGCTAAGAAAATATCAGTTTGTGTTTTTTTTTTTTTGGTTCAAAACATTACATGGAAATTCTTGCTTGATCAAATAAATTTTATAAGTCACATTAATAATGAAATAAAATATAATTTCAAGTTGCTTCAACTAGACTTAAATTTATCTAAATTTAGAATAAAATTCGATTGATCTAAAGTAAACAATTGAAAAAAAATATATATTTTGATTTTATTTTAAATATATTGAGTTAAAAAGCATTTTGCTTAGCTCTAAAATTAAAAAATAATAATAATTTGAAATCCATTTAAATAAATTAAAAGCCAGCTTAAATATAAAATTTTAATTAAATACAGGATTTATGGGTGCTTGAAAAAGCTTTTCCATAGCATTGCTAACTAATGTTTCATTTGGGATGACTTTCTTAGTGCTTCTTGAATCAGCTTTCATGTATAATTTTTTTTATTTTTGTATTAAAAAACTGTTTTAAAAAATAACAAGAAAGCCATCCCAAGCGAAGCTGGACTGTTTTCTTAGTTCTTCTTGAAATAGTTGTTTAGTACAAATATTACAATTTTTGAACTAAAAAACTGCTTTAAGAAACAGTAAAAAAGCCATCCCAAACAAAACCTAAAGAGAAATGACAAAGTTATCAAGACTAGTAACAAAAAATTAAAAGAACTTGCTAATGCTTATGTATTGCTGGCACAAGAAAATCAGATTGATATGAACAGTTTAGAACAAGAAGAAAATTTTGCAAGGAAGATACATTAAAGTCCCTCATATAGTATTAAAATTTTGTAGCAGATAGCCTGTCAGCTTTCAAAATAATGCCAAAATCCCACAAAGGAGAGGAATTGTTACACTAACGATTTGCTAGAAGTTCAGATTGAGTGGACGATCTTGCATTTATTTTCCAAACCTGAAACATTACAAATTGTTGAGAATCAAGGTTCAGTGAAATTGGGGGAAAATAATGTTATGGGAAGGTCTTCACAATTCTATCAGATCGCAGCAAAAGAGAAAATTTTCTGTCAGGATATTTTGATTCTCTTCGAATCAAAATGGTGATAATTTTATCGTGTTCTTCTTGATTTTATGTTTCACATGCTATCACTTAGGGTTCGTTCGTTTGAGACAGTTTTCTTAATGCTTTCTAAAATAATATTTTAGTTAAAAATTTTCTTGAATTAAAATTTTTTTGTACAAAAAATTGTTTTAGAAAGCAATGAGAAAGTTGTCCCAAACGAAGCCTTGGGCTTACTTTGAAACGGCTTTTTTATTTAAGAAGCTTTCTAGTAGAAAAATTATAATTTTATAATGTGTTCTTGATTTTACGTATCACATGTTATCACTTAGGCTTCATTTGAGAAGATTTTCTTACTGCTTTTTAAAGCAGCTTTTTTTACTAAAAAACTGCTTTAAGAAGCAATAAAAAAATCATCCTAAACGAAGCCTTAATATAACTAAATTATTAAACAAATATAACTAAAATATTAGCTATTAGACATTCATAATACTTTTTTTCCGTCATGATTCTGCTCGTAAATGTCTAATAATTTAGTCGTATTTGTCTAATAATTTTGTTATTATGAGGGATAACATGTGAAGCATGAAATTGAGGAATGTATGATAGAAGCAGCCCAATCATAATATAAAAACTATTAGAATATCTAGATATAATTGTTTGCTCAGTAATACCTGAAGCAGCTTGATGGCGAGCTCAACCATTGATAATCTTTTCATGAGAATTTACGTTCTATTTTTCAGCCAGTTGTTCCATGAGCTTCTTCTCATCAGCCAAAAGTCTGGGTAAGAGGCGAAAATGGATATGGTCTAGGAACTCTGAATGTAGCAAACGTAATTCTTTAACCTTCTCATATTCAGGAGTTCCCTTATGGACCAATTTAATTTGATCAGCTAGTTGCTCCTCTGCATTACTTGGTTTGGCCTGAATCAAACAACCAGATTCAGTAAAAAGATGAAATGGGCATATTTGTTAATGGCGAAAAATAGCATGCTGTGATGAATGGTGCAGTGTGGCACACCCTTTGCGACTCTACTGTAGCGAGGCAAACAGTGATGATATGGGCATGAGCCATTAGCCTTTACACCACGGTGTCATTATGATAAAAATCATTAAGTATGTGGCCAATTTAGATTTCGTTTGGAACGGTTTTTTTACTGTTTTATAAAGCAGCTTTCTAGTAGAAATTTTTGAACAAGAAAGATGCTTTAGGAAAGGATTAAGAAAACCGCCCCAAACAAAGCCTTAGTCCTATAATATGACATTGCTCTAATTTAATTTCTCAACCATGTAAAATTAATCCTAATATAATCCCTAGACAATATAAAATCGATATTAATTTAGTCATTGATGGATCATTTGGAATCAATTTTATCTAGTCTGACTAAATTGAAAAAAATATTATACTTTATGATGTGCTTGTTTCCCCTTTATATTATACTAAAAACTAATTTCAATCCAACTTATACATTGCCAAAGATTGGATAAAAAAAGTATTATCTGAGCTCGCATACTTATTTAGCTCAAACAAGTCCAAAATTTGTCTCAATTTTTAAGTGATCCTCGATCTTTGAGCCGCATTAACGGCCTTGGATGGGACCACAGATGACCAATAAAACAAAGCTAAAAATGTCTATAACAGGTCTGCCAATTTGGGAGATGGACAGATATGTCAATATGGCCAACTGCCTCTGCTGAAGCCATCTGAATACATTGGGCTAGCCTAGTACTTGTCAACTTAGCCGACCTGCACCATTATGGATAACCTATATTCAGTAGACTAGGCTCATGTGAACCTGGCCAATCTTCTTGATCACGGACGTATTCGGCCAATTTCATCGAAACCTGGCTAAACCAGGTAAACATGCTTTTATAAGAACAGTTAATCACCAAATCATTTCAATTTGCATATTAAATTTTCTTTTTTTACTATGATATTCTGTGACATCCTATCATTGGTCGAGGACTCCTCTAAATGAAATTTGTCTTATTATGATAAAGTTTCAAGAGAAGTGCTAAGGAGAGTTTTTGAAAAGAAAGAAGTTAATAATGTTTATATTCAAATCATTAAAGATATGTATGCATGAGCTATTACTTGTGTTCAAACACAATGTGGTTTAACCAAGTATTTTCCTATTTCGGTTGGATTACATCAAGGATCAGCCTTAAGCCCCTATCTTTTTGCTTTAGTCATGGATATTCTCACTAGACATTTGAAAGAGGATGTACCTTGGCGTATGCTTTTTGCTGATGATATTTTTCTTGTTGATAAGGCTAGAGAGGGAGCTGAAGGTAAACTTAAATTATGGAGGTCAACCTTAGAGTCTAAAGGTTTTCGTTTGAGTAGATCTAAAGCGGAATGTATGGAGTGTAATTTTAGTAGTAATAGATCTAGTAAGGGGATTGTGATTTGGGCGATCAAGCCATTAATAAGAGTACATGTTTTAGATATCTTGAATCTATTGTTCAGAGTAATGGTGAAATAAATTGGGATATTATCAACAAAATTCAAGTTGGATGGTTGAAGTGGAGGAATGCATCGGGCTTGTTGTGTGATAGATTCTATAAGATGGTGGTGAGACCTGCAATGCTTTATGGTGCCGAATGTTGACCATTAAAAGAGAAGCATAATAGTAAGTTAAGTGTTGCAGATATGAGGATGCTCAGGTTGATGAGTGGCTTTACTCTTAGAGATAGGATACAAAATGAGCATATACGAGAAAAGATTGGAGAAGCTCCAGTGGAAGATAAGATTACAGAGAGTAGCCTTAGATGGTTTGGTCACATAAAACGGCAGCCTTCCAATGAGCCAGTTAGAAAAGTAGATGTATTAGATTTGACTTATGTTAAGAAAGATAGAGGTAGACCTAAAAAGACTTGGTTTAAAAATATTAGAAATGATCTTTCTTTGTTAGATTTATATGAGAATTTGACATTTAACATGACACAATGGAGAAAAAAGATTCATGTGGCCGACCCATGTAGTGGGGCTAAGACTTGATGTTGTTGTTGTATGATAAATAATATCATTGGACAAGGGTCATTGTATTGCCAGCCCATAATGCACTAGCATTAGTACTGTTTGATAGCCTTAAGCAACTATTGATACAATTTAGATGTTAAAAATGTAAAGATAAGAAATATAAAGTAATACTTACAATAAATGACTAAAAAAAAAAGAAAAAACTGACCCAACAGATCAACATTGTGTTTTGTCAATGTGGCTTGGGGTTCTACATCACTACTAAAGTGAATCAATCACAAATGAATTAAAAAAAGCATACTATTTATTAATGTAAAAATGATATTTTATATTAAGCTTCCTTCTAAAATGCAGCAAAGGCATCTTCAAAACTAATATCATGGAAGTATCTTGAAAGTTTAGAAGGTAAAACCAATGCAGTGATGTTCATGAAAATCAAGCAACACATGCAAAGCTATACAAAAATTGGCTCATCAATGTTACCTTCCCTTCCATTTTTGCTCCTAAAACTTACCCTATGTCCACTGCCAGCCCAAGGTGCAACTTTACACCATCCAATTACAATTGATAATGAATAGTCAGTCAATTCAACATTAATTTCATTCGAAATAATCAGAACTATCATATATTTTGTACACAGTAACATTTACTATATCATCCATTTATCACCATCATCATCATATATACTCATTTTCCATTCATTAATCCTGAATATTGCATGAGGTATTAAACCTATTTATACAAATATTTTCGCGCACGTTCTGTACATTTAGAAGAAACCTACAAATTATGCAAAACGTTGAAGATTGCAAACAAATACTCTCTCCAAAAGAACTTGACATGACCATAAGCATGACAATAAATATAAGTTGTAGAACATTAATAAAAGGATGAAGGGTCTCGTAAGCTATAAAGCACAATGCATAAATACCAACCTCATATGTTGTCATAACCCCTTCTGCTATTCCAAAGCAAGCATAATCAACTATCCAAGGTCTGGAAAAGTGTAAATTTCATTCAGAAGCATGAAAATATAATCATTTTCAATCATGTAATGACTTTCAAACCAAGATTGAAAAGGAAGACGCATCTACTATATCAGCAAGCAAGTAATTGGGAGTATGGCTCTATCATAGAAATGAAACTTATAATCTAATTCAACTAAAATTTTCGGAAAACATTAGAAGTGTTAACTCATTTTAATAATATTCATAGATAAAACAGTAAACTTAAGACAGTTGAATAAAAAATGTCGAATGACAAAGCTGGTTAGGGCATAATAAATTGAGGGCTGAAACATGTACCAATAAGATAATTATGCAAGAATAGGAAGCATAATAGATAGACTCATAGACCGAAGTAATATGACAAGTTGTTGATCAAAAATAATAACTCAAAATAAAGCTATCTCGTGTAGGATTGATAGTGGTGACTGTTGCAATCCGGGAGCCCGATTACAAGTATTATCAAATGTTTTATTTATTTATTCCAGCATTATATTTTGGATATTTACTTTTGTGTGTCACAAAACCTTTCAGGTATAATATACACCAAACAAAATTGAAGAACCGGCTAAACACAGTATAGCGTCAGGGTAAACATTAGTCTGTATGTTATAGAGACAGTATTTTTCATTTTTCTAGAGTCTATTTTTGTACTAGGTGTATGATGGCTTAGCAACCATGCACACACACAAGGGGATTAAAATTGAAGGTTTTTTTCCCCATTCGTAATGTACAATCAAGATCGTACTGTATGATTTGTTCAAACAAAAATTAATTAAAATATTTAATTAAGTGAGATTAATATAAATTGGCATATAACTAATCGTATTGTCCGATCGACATATCGTACAAGGTGATCAGCTATATTAAGAAACCCCGCCTTCAAATCAGGGTTACTTAAAATAGGTAAATTTGAATTTTAAAATTTAAACTATTCATCTATATGATCTAGTTTGTATTGTATGAATATTAATTAAATTGTCTAATTTAATTTCAAGGATTATGCAATTGAATCAGATCAAATTAAGATTTAGGATCATATACTACGATCATGTATCAGAATGAACAATTCACCCGAGAAGTCACCGGACGAACTTTGGTTCATCCTGAACAAGTTGATGTTCGATTGAACTGGTCGTCGAGTACGACCTATGAATTGTATTGTACGAAAAGAAGGTTGAAAATTAAACTTAAGGATTTTTTAGAACCCTCTTTATAAACTCTTGTTATGACTTTTGAGACAAGAGTTCTGGAGTTTCAGATACGTCTTACTTCTATGTGAGAGCTTGGAGAGAGTCCACAACGCAAAAGGAGAGACAGAGGAGGTGAGGTTGAGAGAGGGAGAAGTGCCTTGAGGGTGTTAAGGAAGTGTGAGGGGATTCACACGATTGCTTTAGTTGGCCTGCACCTTGGGTCCTTCGATTTTATTTGTGCTGTTGGAGGAGATATCTAAGAAGGAGAGTCTTTGGAGCGAAATACTCTTACTAGCCGACGAAGCTAGGGTCAGCATCTTTGCGGGCTTGAAGGCAAAAGAAGTTTTTGTCATCTCCATCAGGCTTGAGGGCGAAATGAGTTTCGGCATCTCTTCTGGGCGTGGAAGCGAAAGGGGGGAGCAACTTTGATAGGAAGTACTTGAGTTCGCAAGTAACCCTAAGGGCAATACTTGAGTTCACAAGCAAACCTAGCAAGAATTGGCAAAAACAGCGGAAAATAGGGCTGATTTCAAAGAGAAATCAGCAAAAACCATGCATGAAATATAATAGAATGCAGAAGAAACACAAGAGAAATACTTTGATTTAATCCACGAAAAAGAAAACAAAGCAAGATACAAATTTTTTCAATTTGAGAGGAATAAATACTCTCCAAAACTCTAGCAAAGCCTAGAGCCCACACAAAATAAACTCTAGATCTCAAAATTTCAGCAAATCTCAAGATACCCCAAACCCTAGCCTCCCAAAAGACTAATTAAAGCTAAATGAAGCTTACAAAATCCCTAAACAGCCCCGAATTCAAAATTTTTTCCTCCTAAACACTATTAAATTAAGCAAGTGGGCCCCACTAGGGCTTCCGCCCCCCCTTGGTTCCGCCCAAAGCCTTGGGCTGCTGGCTATAAACATGAACCGGTCCCTGTTGGACCGGTTCAGCCGGCCCCTCCCGGGCCGGCAATGTAACATTACTCCCCTCCCAAAGACTCACATTGTCCTCAACGTAAAAAGAAGGAAACTGGAGTCTCACTCTGTCATATGGTTCCCAAGTGGCCTCAAACTCGAGAATGTCTTTCCATCTGATAAGCACTTGTTCCCCTTTTTATCTACATTGACTTATCCTAACTCCAGTGGTTCTAAGATCACTTCCAGCTCCTCTATCAGTGTATCTGGCAACTCCGCACTAACTACATGCTCCCCTAGAGCTCTCCTCAGCTGCGACACATGGAAAACTAGGTGTATGGTGACCGTTGGGGGTAACTTCAATCGATATGTCATTGCTCCGATCTTGTCCACCACCTCGTAGGGACAAAGTACATTGGAGCCAATTTCTCGTTCCTCCTGTTAGCAACTGATTTCTGTCAATAGGGCCTTAGTTTCAAGAACACTTTCTCCCCCACTTCATACTATATGTCTCTCCTATGTGTATCTGCCCGCTTCTTCATGATTTGTTGTGCCCTCCACAGATATTTCTTTACTCCTCCAACACCTGGTCCCTCTCCTCTAAGTATTGTTCAACTGAAGAGACTGGTGTATTTCCTCTACCAAACTGCACTAAATGTGGGGTGTCCTCCATAGAGCACCTTAAAAGGAGTCATTTGGGACGCAGAATTATATGAAGTATTTTTTTCATTTGTACTGTACGATCAAAATCGTACTACACAATCACGATTGTAATGCATGATTTGTTCAAATATAAATTAATTAAAATATTTAATCAAGTGAGATTAATATATATTGGCATATAAATAATCGTATTGTCTGATCTACACATTATATAAGACGATCAACTATATTAAGAAACCCTGCCTTCGAATCATGGTTATTTAAAATAGGTAAATTTTAATTTTTAAATTTGAACTATTCATTTGTATGATCTAGTTCGAACTATATGAATATTAATTAAGTTGTCTAATTTAATTCCGAGGATTATGCAATTGAATCAGATCAAATTAAGATTTAGGATCGTATAGTAAGATCATGTATCAGACTGTACGATTCACCCGAGAAGTCACCTGAACAATCGGATGTTCAATTGATATGGTCGTCCAGTACGAACTATGAATTGTACTATACGAAAAGAATGCTAAAAAAATAAAATTTAGGATTTTTTAGAACCCTCTTTATAAACTCTTGTTATGACTTTTGAGACAAGAGTTCTGGAGTTTGAGAGACGTCTTCGTCTTACTTCTGTGAGAGAGCTTGGAGAGAGTCCACAACGCAAAAGAGAGAGTGGAGGTGAGGTTGAGAGAGGAAGAAGATCCTAGAGGGTGTCAAGAAAGTGTGAGGGGATTCACACGATTGTTCTAGCTAGCCTGCACCTTGGGTCCTCCGGTTTTGTTTGTGCTCTCGGAGGAGAGCTCTAGAAATGAGAGTCTTTGGAGTGAAATACTCTTACTAGCCGAGGAGGCTAGGGTTGGCATCTTCGTTGGGCTTTAGGGAGAAAGGAGTTTTGACATCTATGTTGGGCGTAGAAGCGAAAGGAGGGAGCGACTTCTCCGCCAAGCTTGAGGGTGAAGGACTTTCGGCATCTTTGCCGGGCAGAGGAGGCGAGAGAAGGGATCGGCATTTCCAAATATTCTTATTACCTTTCTCAGTACAGTGATTTATTAGACTGCATTTAGCTAAGTTTTAAATATTCAGTAAAACATTTAACGAAAGAATATTTAAAATTTTAGATCAACTTATGTGGTATGCTGAGCAGGTTGAGCTCGCAATAGTTTTGCTTCTGGTTTTTAGAATATGGTAAAGAGAAGAAACATGTTGATTAGCAGTTCATGATCAGATCTAAATTTATAGATATTTTTCTATTTTGATTTTTGTACAATCACGACTAGTTTATTATTCAGTTATATAGCTTTTGGTTGATAGTCATGCACTTGGTGTTGATATATTTTGATGACATGAAATAAATCTTATGTATGAGTTTATTTATAGTACTCTGAATATTTTTAGTAGCTCTGCAGTCTATTAAAATGAATATTGGACAAGGATCTGAATATTTCAAAACTAGATTTTAGGATTTGTTTGTCACAGCTCAACATGATAGGATTTGTCTTGGTCGGGTTGGGTTGTGACACATATAGCCTCCAAAGGTTGTCTTGCTTCTAGCATAATTTATTAAGTCAGGTATGCCATAGTAAATCTAGTAGTTATAGATCATAATAGTTCTTTCTTAGAAATTTTCCTTATTAAGGCCAAAGCCCAACTATGATAATGAATGAACATGTTAATCTTCTTGGCTTCAAGGCACTCTTATATTGGGGGAACTCTCCAAAGTTTTTAAATATTAGGTCAATGTAATATACAACACATGGAGTCCAGCAAATATATTTTCTCATTTTCATCAACATATTTGATACTGCTTTGTAAGTGTTAACATTATTAGTAATAACTTGAACCACTAAATACTCTCCCATCTCCTCTATAACTCCATCAATAAGTTCAAAAATGTATTGAATCCTTCATATGATCTTATGCTTCAACGGCCTTCAAGAAAACAGTGTTATACATATTGCTTATTAGAATGTTGATCAAGCTCTTATTTTAAATATCACATTAACTATCAAACATGATCATAAGTCTATCTTGTGTCCAAGTTCTCTTGATTTTCTCAATAACATTCTCAACGATATTCAATTATTCCTTCAATATTCAGGTCTAAGATCATACATTTATGGAGATTTAAGGCATCAACTATGCAAATCTATAGAATGAATCATGTTTACATAAAATGTGAAAGTTGTCATATTAAATGGAATCACATTTTCATAGAAGAATCTTCCAATATCCATACAAACCTACTTGTGAGCCTCTCTTACACTTTGTGGTGACATTTGATGGGCTACCCTCGTACCATCATTATTATCATCCTCCACATTCATCACATACTGATATATAGATCCCTTTGCACTTCAATTGGACATTTATGCCAAAGAGTAATAAGAATCTTTGCCACTAGCTCTACTATCATAATAAGGTCAGCTATTGATTTTCTCATCAAAATTGTTGTTGTACCAAATGCTTGGATATGATAGCTTTGTTCATATAAGTATGAATCTCCTATTTCACCTTCTCAGTCACTTTGGCACATAATGCATAATGCAGCATTCTTATAAGAATAAAAAAATATTATTTCATTTTGGTTACACCACATTTAAACCACTTAATCACAATAGTCCACTTCAAATACATGTATATTTTTTAACTTTCTCTAATCTGCACTTGCACGCTATACTTCCATGTCGTATCTTTTTTATTTCTCATTGAGCTTTTCTCATAATCTCTATTCATTTTTAAAAAAACCCTAAACTAAAAATTTTTTCATTTTAAAAAAAATTATAAAATGCAAATGTTAAAAAAACATAAACAAAAAAATAAAAAAGAAGTTAATTTTAAGAAAGCAAAAAAATATAGATGCATAACCAGCACCAAGAGAGGAACACAATTAAGTAAGCAGCAGCGGTGGCGTATAAGAGATCAAGCTGCGGCACACAGCTGTTTAACAAGGACATGGAAGTTGGGTGGGTCGAGCAAGCCGCAAGCATACGAGCAGGTCATTGGGCAGAGAACTGAAAAATCTATTTAGGTTTGGATTGAGTAAAATAATAAAATGAACTTTTGGATGTATATTTTATTTGTAAATCATTTTTTTTAAAATCATCCTAACATTTGAAGTTTTTTTACATGAGGCAAACACCTCATGATGACTTCTCTTATTCTGAAATTTTAAACATGGTCAACAATTAATGAATGTTTTTTTAATTGGTCTTTTGAACTGTGAATTCAATATCTGAACTGTATTTTCATAAATAGCATTATTTAGTTGCATTTTTAAACCCCAAAATAAAAAATGATCAACATCACTTTATATATTCTTTTTGCAATTGATAGTTCTTATAAGTGAGTCATCTGCTTAACAAAGTAAAAAAAAAAAAAAAGAACAATGGAAATGTTTAGAAGATAAAAGACTTTGAATTAATAGAGCAAAGACTGAGTATTTACAATGATAAAGTGACACTTAGGTATGAAAAGATTTAAGCACCTTTAAAGTGTATACATGTGAATATAACTTCTATTTAAGGCTAGGTAGTTAAAATAGAGAACTGCAACGGGCATGCGTAAAAATAAATCATGTAAATCTAAAAGTATTTTTTATAGAATTGTAAGTAGATCAATTATGTTGTGTAGATATTAGTGTTAGGCTAAAAAAGTTTATTGAAAGTCAAGTTTAGCATAAATGAGAATTTTAAGATGAATTAATGGAAAAATTAAAGAATTTTTTAAGAATAACTATATTAAGGGGTGGTTGGAAAACACCTATTAAAGATGAGCTGATGAGGTAAACGACAATAGACTTTAATGGCTTGGGCGCATTAAAAAGATTTAAAATGACGAGCAGATGAAATTTGTATTGAAGGATTAAGAAGAATAGCAGACCTAAGATCATGCATAAAACTTATTCAAAAAGACGAGAAAATAAATTTAGGAAGTCTTGTAGCTCTCAACAAGAAAGAATGGAATGGGATTTATGAAGCCAATCCAAAAAGTTCGCGTAGGTTATGATGATGAGTGCCATGAGTCTAGTTTTGCCAAGACGGACCTGCTAAACAACAGTTAAAGTTTAAATTACGTCTAAGTGATGACCTGAATCACATTTTTTTCTCCTTAAAATGACTATTTCTGTTCACATGTAAAAGATTAATAGAACTAACACAAAAGTATTGCAGCCCTGCATTCCACTTAAAAGGCAGAATAAAGAAACTAAAGTTGCAATAACGCAACTAAAAGTTTTGCAACCATAAGACTTGATTACCAGTCGACGTAGCAACTCATGAACTTTGAAAACTAAAGGTCTAAAAAATTAATTTCATATTTCTAAGGAAACTTCATCTTATATGCCAAAAAATCAATAACAACTATGATAAACCAATATTAGAGATCAGTGACAAAGATACATACCTTCCCTTCAAAGAAACAATGATGTATTCTATGTTAAGCAAAAAATCCATCAGCATGTCAGCTTGGTGTTTCTCTTCAAGTAGAATGAATCCCCTGGTACAAAATTCATGCGATATAGAAGGGCAGATGATAGCAAAGCATGGTATTCCAAGGTGCTCTTGTACAAAATGCTTAAGTGTGAAAGGTGATAAGTCTTTCTCCAAGTTGTCAATTCTACAAAAGTAGGTTATTTTCTTTTTAATTTTTTGATATTTTCCAAGTGATTGCCCGCCCATATCAAAATCCTGTTCCAAGTTTTCACTCATGCTTTCACTAGAAGATCGCCCTATACAGAGAAGGATTAGTAAAGTAACAACAAAATGCAAAAGCTAAAAGTCGTGTACTTAAGAATATTCATGAACGGATAATCTATACCTCTAGCAGTAAGGATTGAAATCTCTTCTTGTTTAGAAGCTCTTATATGCTACAAAGACCAAAACAATTTTCATTACTTAAAGTTCTTTAATATGAAGCTGGAAGTCTGGAGTACTAGATCCCATAGCAATAGAGTCGAGGAAATGTAGCTCCAATGATGATATAAAAATAAGGGCATAATTACATAGAAAGTTTCTATAGCGTAGACTGGGCTTCATATTTATCCACTTTCACTTCAATAAGGTGTCTAGTGTTTTTTTAAATTTATTAGAGATTCCTCAATTAGTTTTTTGTCTTCAACTTGGCACCCATACCTTAACGACTTTAGCCAGTTATTATTAGTTTGTGAGTGAATGCTACACATTGCCATCTCATAAGACCACCACATTCTCTTAGAATTCTGAATCCTTCGATCTAACTTTAAAAAAAAATAGTGAAAAGGAGAAGAAAATATCAAAGGATTAAACTGTGAATCATCAATGATCAAGATGAACAAAAATGTGATCAAAGGATGCGAGCCAGAAAATCCTTGGCAAATGTAAGATAGAGCCTTACCTAGAAATCCTCGACAATTATGACAAAATATCTCAAGTAAAAAGGGGAAAATCTTAATGGATTAAACTGTACATCCTTTTCAAAACATTAGCTAAGAATAACAAAATATACTCAAAAGGGTCAGAGAAAAAGAAAACCTTGGCAAATGCTAGCTAAAGCCTTACTAAGAAACTTTTGAAAAATCCAAGCAATAAAAAAAATAAAATATAGGACAACAATGATAAGAATACTTAGAATTAGTATTTGTGGTTTCTCTTTACAAAAGCTTCTCAATTTTGACTCTCAATTTCATAAGTTATAAATTTCCTCATAGGAGGAACAAGCATGAAGGGAAAAAAGGTGTGCACTTGCAAGAAAGCCATATTTCATCACAAAAAGATCCCTCATATGAACTTATATTGTAAGGGTATTTTAGTTATTAAAAGACTTTCTAACATGACTGTCATAATAGGGACCTATACGTAATGTCATTTAATATCAGGAGTCAAAGTGTAATGTTTTTAAAAACATGGAACAACGTAAAATATGATCTATAACTCAAGGACCTACGTGCAATCTAACTTCAAAAATAACGATGAATTGCTCAAAGTTTCTTTGTTTGACCACCGATTTTTTTCAATCCATTGACTCAAAACAAATTGCAAACTATGAATTTAGGCACTGTTGTTTTGGATGTAGTTACAAAAATATTAGGAACTAATTATCATTTTTTTGAATGAGTTTGTTATAATAATGGAACGTGCTACTTAAAATTTAAATGTGGGCATTGAAGGATTCCAACAAACAACATCCACATTCAGACTTCATGTAACCAAATACATTGTTTTAGTAATAGCTTTCAAATCAACAGTAACTAGATCCATTATTCTAGTCATTACATTTAAAGGAGCAACAATTAGATTCATAGTTGGACTTAAAACTACTTTTTCAAGTCAATGGACTAAAATATTTTGTGGTCAACCATACGATCTTAGATAAATGACTACTAAAAATAATTTAGAACTTGATGTAATTATTACAACAACAAATATTTTTGTATTATAGATTAAACAGAACATAATGGAGAAAAATGATTCAATGTAGCCGACCCCACGTAGTGGGTAAAGCCTTGATGATGATGTTGTTGTTGTTGTTGGATTAAACAAAGATTGGGATCAAATATAATAACATAACATGCCACAACCCTTCATTTTTCTAATATTCGAGTTCATCTTTCTTTTCCAAGAGAGGAAAATAATAATATACGAATAAATCCATTATCTTGAATATGGGTAGCAATTAATAAGATATGTTTGTTAAAATAAGAGTGTTTTAATTGTCAACCAGCTAACAACAACATAATCAAATAATAAATCATTTTTAAATTTAGCAAAAATAATCTAACATGTGAATTTTTCACGCTAAAATAACTAATTTAACCACATGAGCTTCCAAATTCAACATATGCCACATGCTACAAAAATATGATATATGACTTTCTAGACAACAACAACCACCATAATCATCATCATTATCCTCATCCCAAGAATTTGCACTGAGCGTTATAAATCCTCAATTTCATTTATTTTTGTTACACAACGCATAAGGTATTAATATATTTTTGCTCAACTCTTTTTGGAATGCTAGCCATATCAGTTGTCATCTACCATTTATCTTCCTAATCTTTTCATTAGTTTTATATATTCATCTTATTAGGTCATCCTAATCATCATAACATACACTCAAACTATTTAAGTTTATTTATCATTATTTTATCTTCAAATGCAACTCCAATAGTAGTCATTTGTTGCTTTACATCTCCTAATTTCACCACACATCCATAAGAACATATCCATTTATGCCACAATGATCTTGAAAATCAATAACTTCTTGACCGTTCAACACACGAATTCATACACATCATCAAATAAATTGCAATTTTTTAAATGCACCTTTTAAGTAGTTTTGATATTCTCTTACACTACACTACATCATACTATATTATATAACATATAGGTTTCCATACTATATATTAAAAGAAACCAGAGGAGAGAAAATAACAAAATGGATGTCATGAGAATGATCCATTTTAAATGGTGTTCTCTCCTATTTTTTCATATTTGAAAAATTATAAGAGAAAGGAAAACAACTCATTCAAGTATTTTAAAAATTTAGAAAGGGAGGAAATTATCTTATCCAGGAATAGATACCATTTCAAAATAGAATCCTGGAATAGTGGCTATTCAATGCATGGTTGAACTATTAAGTCTTTCAAATTATTTTTAAGAAAGTAGCATAGGAATTTGAAGAGATTATTATATTATTTTTAAATGTTTTTTTTCCAAATTTCTTGACTTATTTGAGTTATGATATCACAAGCATGATATAGATTCTTCATAGTTGCATTTAAAACAACAGATTTGCAATATTAACATATAAATTTATAAAGCTACTTTCTATTTTTTATTTCATAAATATTTATTGTCGTTAATTCTTATTTTGTTAAGAAAATAAGAAAAAAATATAAAAAGATAAGATATTTAAATGAATTTTTCAATATAGGTTATATATGAGTGAGTGTATGCCATGATTGAATAAAAGTATTTTAAATGTCTAATTGAATTATCATTCCACAAGGTAACTATGGAGCTATATATTCTCATGATAAAAGATATATTTTCTTAGCCCGGCATCGTGGGGTTTCTATCTTGTTGCATAATACTCCTAAGGCACTTCTTATCTTAGTCACCCAACTTTAATTTTCACAGGTATAACTTCATCTATAATAGATACAAGATACTTAAACGTTTAAAGAAATAATAGCCACGAAAAAGTATCCTAAATGTTCATAATTTGGCACACATGAGGTTGACTGAGATTCTTTTCATCACAGTAGTTCAAGGGAATTGCAAAACTGAAATACATTAACATAAGCATATATAAGGTAATGTTGCATGCATAAATAAGTGGGCATATGGGTACTTGGATACATGAACGCATTCAGATAAATTTAAAATGATTTACAAACATGTACACATACACACGCACAAATACAAACATGTATATACAAAATAATACACATACTTGCATACATATACACATACAGTAAACTGCATACAAATGTAGACAATGCACATATCTACATGAATACAGACACAGAATTTTGACATGCTGGCAGGAAAATCACTTCTACATGCGTCCATGTAAGCATACATAGGACAGACCATAATACATCGGTCAGTATCAACACCTTCAACAATGATGCCAAAAAAATGTAGATGTTCAGATAAGAAAAGGATATACCAACATGGAGCGGGAAGAATCTAGTTGAGGCTTCTTTGATTTGTGTAAGGTTGAGGAGCTAGGGATTTGACTTGTGCTTGCAGAATTTGTTATTGGAGAGAGATCATATCTGGTTTCTGGTTTAGAGTTTTGTGTATCTTCAGCCTTAAGTTTCTCTTTCACAATATCCAGAAATTTTTGCAATGTCAGGTTAACAACTGTCTCTTGAAATTTTATGAGGCATACATGTTCAATGCCAAGAATAGTCTTTTTGCCTTTTAGTGGACCATACTGCCACAGTAGCTGAAATTTACATCGGCAATCTCCTTCTTGCAGAGCGTGGATAGAAGGGTTTACCTGTATTACACCACATGAACTTAGCAGTTGAAATGAAAAGTTACATTAACATTAATCAAGAACAGTCTAGCCTGATAAACCGTCACATTGAAATAAAAATGGATACAAAAATAATTTAAGTATAAAACTTACAAAATTAAAAAAAAAAAAGGTGGATGGTAGAAGAGTTGAAGAAGATAATATCGGAAAACAGAAATTCATGTACCTTTCTATCAAAAAAAAAAAAAACAAATGAATAAAAATCTAACTAGATGCTGCCATTTAAGCTTTCATCAGTACTAATCATCGTGGATCACGTCGTTAGCTCAAGAGGTGTTCTTCGACAGCACCACTCAAAATGGGGGGCTACAAGCCTACATCAAACCTAATCATGAATCATTTATCTTCTAAACATTGCATTTATTATGATTTTTCACTACTTTAGCAGAGGTCTTGTCTACTAATTATATATGGCAATGAACCTCACTATGCTTATATATTATAGCATCAGTTAAAGCTAAACTTTTATATGATTTCTAATGTATGAAAACTTTTGTCATTCAATAATTATCTGTAATGCCAGTTATTATAGCAAAAAGTACGAGTTTAATAACTTCATCAAGTCATTGAAACTTTTCTTAATGCATACCTAATTAATTCTTATGGCACTAAATCAAATGTCTTATAAAGGTCAATAAAAACAATACAAGGACTCTTTCATTAACTAACTTGGAAAGCATTCACCTCATAAAAGACCTTTTTTGCTTAGTGCGAAATTGATTTTTCAACACTAATGTGTTATTTTTTATCCAGTTTTCCTTTGCCCGCTCTTAGAACTTCATTAACAAGAAAACAACTTTAATAATATTGCATAGCTTGCCCCTTCATCCGCTAAAGTAAACTATTTTAACAATCAATTTTAAGAGACGCGTTGAAAATTTTCAAACAAGCTATCCTCATCTCACCAAACAGGTATGATGACTCTCAATCTCAAGTTTCTCTTTTTACCTGAAGTCCTGAACAAGAACAAAGAAACCCTCTCTCTAGGCCATGGTAGAAATACTTTTGATCCAAATTGGAATGAGCTCCTAAAGGTACTCTAAAATCTAAATAAATGGTAATTGATCCAACAAATATGAGGGAGTAGTTACAGCAGAGGAAGCAAAGCAAAGAACTTGTCTTTTTGCCTTCAAATTAAAGCATGAACGGGCAGCATACTAGTCAGAGTTCACAAGAAAATATGATGGTCTAATCTTTACAATTAAAAGAAAGGAAAGGTTCTGTTGATGTTGGATTTAAGGAATAGGGATGGGAAGAGAAAGTGATGGGGAGAGAATGAGAAAGAGAAAAAGACATGAGAAAGAAACAAGAAAAAAGGAACTAAGCGGCATTATTGCAAGGAAATGCATTCCAAATTTTTCATCCCCCAAAAAAAAACATTAAGAATATTTTTATCAAAAAAATCGTTAACGGCCATTACAATAATGCATTTACAAAATAAGATAAGACAAAACTAAATAAAACAACAAATAAAAATCATTGAATGATAACTTGCCATCATCTTCAATCAAATTCAACAGTAGCCATCAATAGCAAGTTCTTGTTTTCTCTCAAATTAAAAACCCAAAAGAGCTTTACTTCAGCTTGATAATTGACTTTATCTTACTACATTAGTACATTCTACCTAAACCAATTTACTCTCAACTATTTGGAATCCTAATTCCCCTCTTAAACCCATGGATCCAAGGCCTCAACCTGAGTTCCACTTAAAAAATCAATTTTGCTCTCCGGTATGTGTGTGCACAATCGTTAAGCTAGCATACACCTTTTCCAGGACATTTGAACCAAAAAACATAAAAATAAACAAATGAAAATACAAACTCTTCCAAAAACATCAAACATATTCTACCCAATCTTGAGTCAATCCTTTATTGCATGGTGTACGGTGTATCTAAAATGTTTAGTGCTCACACGAAAGATATGCAATAATAGTACTAATAGAAATAAAATAGCAATCCAATAATATTTGTTATCATCAAAATCCTAAGCTCGGGATCCCGGATTGCAACAATACCAATAGAATATCTAAATAAAAACAAAATGGAAAAGAACTCCATATTAATCCAAAACCCTAACAAATGGATAAATTATTAAGTGCATAAAACATACCGTAAGAGCTAGGTGCAGAGTGCTAGAGTGCATAATTGTGTAATCATTGTATACTTCAGCTTTTTAGTATCGCGGAGAGTAAACAATATGTACTCATTACATACTAAAAAAATTGAAGTATACAATGAGCACACAGTTGTGTACTCAGTACACAATGAATACATACTTGTGTGCTCTAGTTATCCGAAAGTAGAGTTACGTTTGGTACCCGCATATAATAATTTCTCCAACGCCCATTCATACTGCCCTTCCCTCAAACCATCCAATTTAGCCATTTTTACATCAAAGAAACGCTTCACATAAAACCTAAGGTTTCGTTCGTTTTGAATAAATTGCGGTAAAGGAAATGAAAAACAAATAGTAGCAAAAATCATTGAAGGATTGAATCTAAACTGGTTTTATCTCAAATCGTTCATATTAACTATACTGGAACCAATCACCAGGCATAAAATTTGAAGTGAAATGCAATTGCATTTCCCACCAATTCCTTCAAACCAAACATGCTCTAAAAAAGCACAGTCACTTACCGATTCCACGATTGCATCAAAGTACCTCAAATCATCCACGGCGAGCCGATTGGCTGCACAAACCATCATGCCCTTGACTACCGCATCGCAGTTCGTGTCCTGCAACTGCGACGAAGACGGCCGAAACCGTTTCCGGAACTCCTCAACGCTCTCGATGTTAGGGAATCCTTCGACGGAGTATATCTCATCGGATTCCTGGGGGAAATCGCAGTACATTACCAAAAGTTTGTCGCCTTTCAACCGAAGACGAACGGAGTACCAGGCGTCATCCTGAGCTCTGAAATCCATTATTGGCGACACCTCGGCCGCATCCGCTTGGCGCTTCGCCGACATTGCTTGTTCGATTGCAGCGAACAGAAGCTGTGGTGGATTGCTGCGAAGAAATTTTCATTCAAAAGAAGGGCTCGAAAAGTGGAGCGAAGCTCTGTTCTGAAGTGAAAGGATCAAAAGTGAGAGAGTACGCCATTTTATCGATTTACCACTCTCACCCAAAAATATACATGACAATCAACATTTATTTATTTGCAAAACTGACACCCGTATTATTATTTTTTTTTAAGAGCCCTTTTTTTTTTTTTTTTTTTTTTTTTGTGACGAGGCATTGTTCTTAGGCCAGTGTAAATTCAGATCGATCTAACATGCAATTCATACCAATTTACACCCGTATTAATTTTTTAGATATCAAACTTTTATAGTTTTATATTTATTACAATAAATTTATACATATAAAAGTGGAACCCAAATGAAATTCTAACATTTAATTTAATTTATCATTTTTTTATTTAATTTATCAAATATGAATATGCACATTTCATTTTATTTATACATTTAATTAACTTATTTATTATCTTCATTTATTCATCAAAATACATGATATTTTTTATTTTATTTACATTAATTACATTCAAGTAAGAGTCAATTAGTACAATTAATTATATTTATTTTTATATTCAATTTAAATTAATTAATATATTTATTTTTATTATTTCTTTTATTTATACATTTAATTAACTTATTTAGGAACTTCATTTATTCATTTAAATGCATGTAAATAAAAAATTAGGTTTACATTAACCAAATTGGCTATCCAAAAATGTTAGATAATTATAATAATTAATTGATATTTATAACTATATTTATTATTTAATTAATGCTAATTATTTGCAATAATTTGTGACAGGTTTACAAATATACCTCTCTCCAAGGAGCTTATGACATCATTTACATTAGTAGTAACGTAAATCCTTTAATCTAATTGACAATCTGACAACCACTAAAAACCCTCCATTTGTAGAGACCTCCTCCTCTCCTAACTCTGACTCCTTTGTCGATCCTAATAAAGGTACAAACAACAACATGGTTATCTCTCAATCATCTCTCAACAATGACCCTAACTCATCCTTCCTTCACAACCTAAGACTCCAATCCTTAATTAACTCAACTTCCATAGCCAAAACTAAAAGAAAAAAAATAGCCAAAAAGTGGGGCTCCCCCAACCACCCCAATAATCCCTATGTCTATCCCCAACATTTTATGTTAGAATATTAGAGGCTTCAATTGCGAGGGCCGTGTGAATGACTGTAGAAGTTTAATTCAAGATTATAATATTGAAGTACTTTGTCTTACTTAAACTAAGCTCAATGGGCCTTCTATTGAGGGTTTCTTCATCCAATGTAAGTATAATATGTTCTTGAATGAAGGTAGATGCAATAATTTCCACTTAAATCCTAATGGTTGTATCTGGGTTAGGTGGAATGTAAACACTATAAAATTCACCCTCATTAATGCCCACCCACAATACATACATGGCCTTCTACAATCTCTCCCACCAACAAAATTTTCATCTCTTTCACTTATGCTTTTAATGGTGTTACTTATAGAAAACTTCTTTGGAAAAACATTCAAAATTTATATGTATATAATTGATCCCTAGATTATCATTGATGGCATTAACTTCATTCGAAAGATTGATGAGAAATTGGTGGGGGTGGGAAGCCTCCTATTCAAGCCAAGCTTATGGACTTTAATGATTGCATCAACAATATGAGCCTTATTGATCTTCCAAGGATTGATCTCTTATAGTTGGTATAATCAATATACTTTCAATCCTACCAGATGCCTTCTGGACCGTGTCTTATGTAATAATGTTTTGATTTTTTTTTTTCTTTTTCACACTACAATATTCAGGGCCCCCTCTTGTCAAACCACACACCCATCTTTCTTTAAATTGGTTCTTTTATTAGTACTAACAAGATATTTATGTATAAAAAATATTGGTCATCCCAACCACACTTCTTGGATATTTTGATTTTTGCTTGAAATATTATTGTTAAAGGAAAATATCCTATGGTTTCCTTTTTTATAAATTGAAGAATGACAAGATGGAACTAAAAATTTTCAACTAGTTTTCATCCTTGTCTCTCCACAACCATATTTTCTCTCTTAAGGAACAACAAACTGATAATTTTAATTGTCTGCAATCTAATACTCTTGATAACTCCCTCATTGTTGTTTCCCTCTCTAATCAACTCTTCCCATGAAAATAGCTTGATCAAACAAAGAGCTAAATGCACATGGCTTTCAAAAGGTGATTATGACATTAAATACCTTTATCAAAAAGTTATTATAAAAAAAAAAGATAGATAATAGGAATGTTCATAGGGAAATCTATGGTGCTTATGGTCCTATTTATGATCATAATATCAATGATGTTGAAACCATTAACTACTTCTAAACTCTTTTTAATAAAAACACCAATCATAACAATATTGACGATAATATTCCACTTGGCCCTATTCTCTTAGATGTTGATAGAAACAATCTTACTATGGGTTTCCAGATTGAAGAAATTAAATTAACACTTTTTGAGATTGGAAATGACAAGGCTCCTATTTCAAATGGTTTCACTGTTCAGATTTTCAAAGATTCATGGGACATTATTGGTGAGGATTTCGTTTAATCCATAATACATTGCTTCATTACTTCTTATATGTCCTCATCAGTGAAACACTATATCATTACCTTAATCCCAAAGTATTTACACAAAATCCATGGAAGATTTTTGACATCTTTCCCTTTGCAATGTAATTAATTGCCAAACTCCTAGCTAACATGCTTAAAGATTTCCTCCCTAATTTGATTCATGTAGCGCAATATATTTTCATTGAAGGGAGAGAAATTATATTATTTGACTAATAATGTTTTAAGAGTATTTAATTTCTCCTCTAATCCTAAATCTTTCAGTGTCAAAAATGATCTCAAGAAAGCCTTTGATAATGTTGATTGAATTTTTCTCTATAATAGAATGACTCTAAAAAATATTAATTGGTTTTCATCCTCTTCTCTCCACAATCATATTTCCTCACTTAAAGTACAACAAACTTATATTGTCAATAGCCTGCAATCTAATCCTCTTGATAGCTACTCCCTCATTATTGCTACCCTCTCTAGTCAAAGAGATCTGATTCAGGCCTCTTCCCATCGAATAGATGGATCAAACAAAGAGCTAAATGCATATGGCTTTCAAAAGGAGATGATGACATTAAATTTTGTTATCAAAAAGTTAAAAAGAGGAATCATAGGAATATTATTAGGGAAATCTATGGTGTTGATGGTACTATTTATTATTATAATAGTAATGCTGCTGAAGCCATTAACTACTTACAAACTCTTTTTAATATAAACACTACTCATTACAATATTGAGAAATTATATTCCACTTAGCCATATTATCTTGGATGTTGATATATATAAATAATCTTACTATGAATTCTCATACTGAAGAAATTAAATCTGCACTTTTTGAGATTGGAGATGATAATGCACCTAGTCTAAATGGTTTTACTGCTCAAATATTCAAAGATTTGTGGGACATTATTGGTGAGGATTTCATCCTAGCCATAAGACATTGCTTCATTACTTCTTCTATGACCTCAAGAGTGAAGCACTCTTTCATTATCTTATGTTTTGATGATTATAAATATTATTAAATGATCACTTATTTATTTCTACTTTATACATTACATATTTCTTATGTGTGTCACTAACCATTTTAGGTACAACATATACAGAGCAAAATTGAAGAATCAAAACTCAAGATAGTGTAGCATCAAGGACTAAGTGAGTCCGTGTTTAATATAGTTCATACTTTTTTCTATTTTCTTGAGTCATTTTATGTACAGGTGTATGTTGGCTAAACAACGGAGCACAAACTCACAAAGGGGGAAAAATATTAAACACTTTTTTTTTTAGAATCGTATAGTACGATGCTAATCATATTGTATGATCTGTTCAAATATAAATTAAATCAAATTAATAAAATTGAATTATAACTAATTGTACTGTACGAACACCAATCGTACGTGACAGTAAACTATTTTGATAAATCCCCTCGTCGAATCCTTGTTACCTAAATTAGGAAAATTTGAAAATTGAATTAATCATACTGTACAAATTCCTTCATAATGTACAAATAGTAATTAAAATCATCTAATTTAATACTGAGAATTAAAGAATTGAATAAAGATTATATCTTTATTAATGATCATACTGTACAATCACCATTGTATAGGACGATTAAATAGAGAGATTACTAGCCGATCCTTAATCGTATCGTACAATCAAAGACAAAAATTGAACTAATCAAATAGTACTATCCAAGGATCGAACTGTAAGATCTAGGTGATTAATTTAAAAAAATGGCATTTGTTAAGAGCATATATTTAGTTGTACGAGAGACATCCGGTCTTAGTATAGATAAATTCTTAATTCAAATTAATCCTTATCATGTGATTAAATATCAACAAATGCCATCACACCACATATGGTTCAAACAACCTAGCCACATGGTCCACACTCTCCTTCTCAAGACAAATCAATCAAAGATATATGTCATCCTAATGATTAGGATGTATTTTCTAATCTTTAGAATGCATTCTTTGATTTTTCATGAAGGGGCTAGAATGGTACCAAGTGGCAGCCTAGTTAATAAATGATTAAAAATTTTAATGTAATTATTTCAAAAAAATCTCTGAAATAAATTTATAAAATGTGGAATTTTTTTAACTTTTTTAATAAAACATTGCAAATCAAAAATTTGGAAAATAGTGATATGCTTGTTATTTTTTTAATAGGATATAAGATCAAAGAGTCCCTTTGTTGTTGAAGTTGTAAGCCCTATAGCAAACATCTTTATAGAGGGTGGCACAAATAACCCTAAACAACTTACAAATTGTATTAATCTATATGGGGAAAAAAAGAAAGGAAAAAAAAATAAATAAAGAGAAAAAGATAAAAAGGAAAAAAAATCTATATGGGGCAATACATTTTGATATTGTACGGCATATCTCATATTACCAAGCACGTAGTGATTAGACAACTTTCTCTATCTAAAAGATAATATGAAATAAACTAGATTTTCCATGAGATCTGAAGAAATCCTTTTGAACCAAAATACTTATTTGTTTGATTACGGCAATAAAACTTCATAAGACCAACTAATGAGTTAAATTTCGCTGCAATAAAGAGCATCTCCCTCATAAATTTTTTGAGTTGCAAGTCCCAAAAAAGAGCTACGTTCTAGGGTTTTATCATAATTTGATATAGTAAGTCATACTATTGGGCAGTTCCCTAAACTTATCTTTTACACAATTTTGAAATTATAGGACTTACATTCAAAGAAAGAGTCTTATTAAACATAAATGCTCAAATCTAAAATTTTCAATCTCCCTTTTGTTGTAATCTCTTTGCCTATGATATTCAATCAAAGAATTTTCTAAAGTTACAAGCCATTTAACTAAATTAAGCATGCATATCATAAATTATGGTTTTGTTTGGGACGGCATTCTCACTTTTTCTTAAATCAGCTTACAAAAATTTTACTGAAAAGCTACTTTAAGAAACAGTAAGAAAGCCACCCCAAACGAAACCAATATTATATTCTCCATTTGAACTCTAGCATAATTGTCCTTGTAAACAAAGCCATACATTTTTAGAGGAACTCATTAGTCAATGTTTTTAATGGAGAGTATTCTTGAATTCGTATATCAAATATGTAATTGACAATAAGAATTTACTCTTGTGGGAGATCATGATCCCTATAATTTAAAATAAATCTAACTTCTTTTGTAGTAACCATGAGAAATTTTTAAATAATGTAGGAGGTTGTAGCATTTGTTTGCAGACACAATCACACACCAATCTGCTTGCTGAAATGCTCAGCAAACTGCAGCCACTATTTTAATTGTTGAGAAGCAGAACTCAACAAAGAAGGAATTTCACAAGGCAAATCGAAATCAAGAACAGTACCAAGTGTTACAAGAATAGAAGAAACAAAAGTTCTTTTTACTGAAACCCAATATTCTTAAGCATTACACCGAGTATTTGACTCAAAGCAGACCTTCCAGGTTTGTCTTCTCCTATATATCCTGGTTACAGATAAAGCATCCTTAACATTCAGGCCAGCTTCAGATCAAACAAAAAAAATGGCAGACCTACATAAAATCATAAGAGGAACAAACCCCGTAGAAAAGGAAAAAGTGATAACAATGAAGATAAAAGAGAAAAAAGCAGAGAATACAAAACAATTGCCCTTGCATCCCTCCATGGATAGATTTCCATTCTTCAAAACTCAAGCTGCAGATTTCTCATATTTGAGGGGCTTAACTACCTCCCAGGTGAAGTCAGCATCATCCCTTCCAAAATGCCCGTAAGCTGCAGTCTTCAAGAATCTCCCATTGCCACCACGCTTCAGATCAAGGTTGATACTAATCATTCCAGGCCTGAAATCAAAATTCTCCTTAACAATCTCAAGTATCTCTTTATCAGAAATCTTGCCAGTACCATAAGTATCGACAAAGACTGACAATGGCTCCGGCACACCAATTGCGTATGACACTTGAACAATGCAGCGTCTTGCAAGTCCATTGGCGACAATGCTCTTCGCAGCCTGCCTGACAATGTAGGCACCGCTACGATCGACCTTGGTCGGGTCCTTTCCAGAGAATGCACCACCCCCGTGTGCTCCCCATCCGCCATATGTATCGATAATGATCTTCCTACCAGTAAGACCAGCATCGCCATGAGGTCCACCGATGACGAAACGACCCGATGGGTTTAGATGAAAGATGGTTTTCTCATCCAAGTATTGCTCAGGAATCACAGGCTTGATAACATGCTGCTTCAAGTCAGCAGCTATCTTATCATTTGTGACAGTCTCATCATGCTGTGTAGAGATGAGGACTGTATGAACTCTGATAGGAATCATTGCACCTTTTTCATTGCGATACTCGACGGTCACTTGGGTCTTGCCATCAGGCCTTAACCAAGAACATGTTCCATTCTTACGAACCTCAGTAAGGCGAGCACCGAGCTTGGTAGCAAGGACATGGCTAAGAGGCATATACTCGGGGGTCTCGTCTGTGGCATAGCCAAACATGTGTCCCTGGTCACCAGCACCAATCTCCTCCGGGCGCTTGGTGAAGTGGCCATGAACACCTTGAGCAATGTCAGGAGATTGTTGCTCAATGTTTACGAGAACTTTGCAGTGGTCTGCATCGAGCCCGACATCATCAGAGGTGAAACCAATTGAGCGGCATGTGTCACGGACGATCTTCTCGTAATCGACAATGGCCTTTGTGGTGATCTCACCAAACACCATGACCATGTTGGTCTTGGTGCAAGTCTCACAAGCAACCTTGCTCTCGGGATCCTGGGCAAGGCATGCATCAAGGATGGCATCAGAGATTTGATCACAGAGCTTGTCAGGGTGTCCCTCGTTTACAGACTCAGAGGTAAAAAGGAAGGTGTCTGCCATTTCTTAGAGCTGCAAACAGAAGTTTAATAACAAATGAAAATGAGCATCTGGTTGTGTAAGATGAGGGAACTGATCAACATATGCTGCTTCTAAGAGTTCATTTGGTTTTGAAGATACAACATACAAGTTATTATAACTATCATTTAGTTGGATGTGGATAAAAACCAACATAAATTTCAAATTCCACAAACCTCCTCAAAATTTCCTCATTTTGACATACAAAATGGATAAGGATAATATTATTATCTTCTAAAACATGCTTGTTTAACATACAAGCAACCAATCGAAGGTAATAATCTTCCTCCCAGAATCCTAGGCATAGATAAAAGAGGAGGGTCCATAAAACAACTTTCTAGCAAAATGAAAACAAATGCATTTTTATTTCATTGACAACTCCTTCCTCCATTCTAGAAAAAAATAAGAAGAAAAAAATTATCAGATCATCATCATGACTAACATGCTCCCCTACAAAAACTAAAGCTCAAATTCTCTTCAATTCAACAAAAAGAAAAACAGAAAATCATAATGTTCTCCTCAACCAAACAAGTAAGACAAAGGTTTTGTTCCGATTGAAGTAATTGAAATAGAAAAATTAAACTCTCCAATTCCTTCAAAACAAACATAATGGAAACAAAATTCAATTCACTTGCTTTATCATTTTTACCATCATTCCCATTTATGAATTTATGAACGGAAACAAAATCATAATTTTCAAACACATATTTTCAATGAAAACAAACGCTAAAGTCGGATTCCTTCTCACCTTAACGAGAGTTCGTTCAAAGCTTGAGGACAGAAAGATCAGACACCTCCTCCTGTTCTCTTACTTCTCTTGAGGCCAAGACCCCAAATTTATAGAATTGGGAGGGTTAACGGATCCAGATCCACCATATATAGGAATGGCCGACAACAACCGGTTATAGCCGGTACCGCGGTTTGGGCGGCGGAGGAAGAGGAGGAGGGCGTGGGAATGACGGCGAGAATAAAAGATTTAAATTTGGCCCATTGAAATTTACTAAAATGACGAAAATTGTTGAATTTTTGGTAGGGTAAAGGTAGTTAGAACGTGCGAAGGTGTGGAAATTAGGGATTTGAGGAGAAAAAGGATCGATTGTGTGAGAAGTAGTGGAGGGGAAGGGAGGAGCCGACGAGGACGTTAGGTTGCATGTGCTAAAATAAGCACATTTGAAAAGTAGGTAGGCGTGTTACCATGTTAGGATTAGGTAAGCCAATTTTGAATTTTGTTTGCATCAATTATTTAAGACATATTTGGATTTATTTTATGTTTATTTATTTGTTTTTATTTATATTTATAAGAAATATATAAATATCCTATTGATCAGCCCGCATCCAGAAGCTGTCAGTTATTGGATCATTGCAGTTTAATACTCTAGTGGATCAAATGAACGGCCCACAGAATTTTGGACGTGGAAAGATATTAGGAGGAAAAAAGTTCTTTCAAACTAAACCTCATTTAAGATAACTTTTTTATAACTGTGTTTTTCATATAATAATTATAGTTTTTATTTAGCTACTATTTTTCTAAAACTTTTAATAAATTTTTATAATAAGAAGCTATTTTCTATAACAGTTTTTAAGAAAATAATTTTCTTCATAAAAGCTTTACAACTATCTTTATGAAAGCTCCAGCTGTCCAAAATAAATTCTAATTAAGGATATATTTGGGCCAGCTTTTTTTTGTTTTATTTTTTTGTAACAACAACCATATTTTTATTTAACTACTAGTTTCTTATTGATTTCTTGTTACGTTAAAAAAAAATTATGGTAAAAAGCTTCTTTTTGCAACCAAAGTTGCTAAGTGTTTATTTGGGACTGTTGTAATTTTTTATAAAAGTGATTGTAAGCTATTATAGATAAAATAGTTTACACTGATGCAATGCACCAATAAAATTTATAGGCAATTAGGCATTATTCCAACCCAACAACTTGTTTAGTGAGGCTGTAACCACATAGATATATTGACTTAGGCTTCGTTTGGGATTCTTTCTTACTGTTTTTTAATTTATTTTTCTAGTACAAAGTTTTCGAGTTCAAGAAATATTTGTATTAAAAGCTGTTTTAGAAAACAACAAGAAAATTATCCCAAACGAAGACTTAATCATTCAAACAAATATTATTTAAAACCTATAATTAGCTTAACTAGTATGTATGAAGAATTAGTTGATTGCTTATTGCTTCGCCTACCATCTTAGTTTTTTTTTTTTTTTCGTTTATTCTAATTTCTTCTACCTAGCTTCTTCATTGCAAGTATATAATATCATTGGGAGTAAAGGAATTTCTTAAATCTCTCTTAGGCCTTCTCCAGCCGTTCGGCAAACAGGCGAATGGAGAGCCTCAGACGTGCCAACCAAACTCTATTTTTGCCGGCATTTAGTCGCTTATGAAAAGTGCGACCCCAATATTGGCGTCACACTGTTCACTTTCGTCATTTCTTTCTCTCTACCGAACTCCGTCTGAGAAAGGCGCGAAAGAAACAACGATGATTTTGGGGCAAAATGGCGTTCCATTGGAGATGAATCACGGCACTTTTTGATTTTACCGCATTTTGCAGTGAAAAATGAGAGTTTCGGTTGGAGATGCCCTTAACTGTATCACCATCGAACGTTTACCAATAAATAAACATTATGTTAAGTTCAAACAAAGTGTTAATGGAAGAAAAGTGTATAGAGAGATGGAAAAAGAGAGTCATTGTACAACAAAGAATTACAAGAGGAAAATGAGTTCTCCCAGGGACAATGGAGGAGGAAGACACTTGTGGTGGTACTCGGCGGCAACACCGTCACCAACTACGGCCGAAGAACTCTATTACAACGTGTGAAGGCTGCGGCTAAGAAGTGTGTAATGGCAGGGTTGAGAATGGTTGGTATGGTGATCAATAAATCGACACCGGCGCCGGAGAAGAATATCTTACTAGCTGGAGTTGACCAAAGAAGGATCATGACTTCAAACTCCATGACTTCCTTTTTTATCTAAAAAAGTACAAGAGCTCAAGTGTTTACCAATTAAAATCATAATTGGTATATGTAGTGGCTTGGTGAAGAGTTTGGGCAAGAATTACTATGGGTTTGTGTGCAAGTTGTGTGGTTCCATACTCAACATCTTAATAAATAAATGAATGGTTGAATAAGGTTTCGTTTGTGACAGTTTTCTTACTGCTTTCAAAGCAGCTTTCTAGTAAAAAAAAAATTTAAATTAGAAATTTACTTTAGAAAGCAATAAGAAAGCTATCCCAAACAAAGTCTTAGTTGCACACTTATATGATAGTTGATGAATCTTTGAAACATGTTATTAAATGAGTAAATTTTCAATATAATTTCATAAGCAAAATACTAAGATATTTTATTAATAAACAAAATATTTAATTAGATCTTAATTTATTATTATTAACTTGACAAAATGAATTGACTTCCATTTAAAAAGTTTAAAATAATAATTAGGCTTCATTTGAGATATCTTAAATACTGCTTTCTAAAGCAGTTTTCAAGTACACAATTTTTTATTTCAAGAAATTTTTATGCTTTAAAATTGTTTTAAAAATCGGTAAAAAAGCTGTCCCAAATGAAGCCTAGACCTCTGCGTAATAATAATGCAAATAATACAAATAAATAGTAAATACAATATTTTATGGTCTTATTGCCGCGTAGATTGATAATAGCTTAAGAGAACTCTTATCCAAACAATTTAAATTAATACATGAATACTATTTCAAAGAATAGTTTTTTTTTTTTTAATTTTTTTATGTCTAGGGCTAATATTCTGATGGAAATTCAAAATTCTGAACATCTCAAATAGCCAAAGTCTCTGAAGAATCCAAAAAATAAAGATTAGTTTCAATTCTGTAACATCCACCATTCAAAAGAATACTCAACTGAAAAATATTTTCAATTGAAGGATAAGATTCATCGTCGTATTCACCAATGACATTTAGGCCATTATTTACAAAAGAAATTTATAGATAATCAGTCTCATAATAAAAAAAAAAAATATCAATAAAATCATGGCAAAGAGATTATTGGCATTATTGACTACAAATGTCAGCACATTGAAACAACTCAAATAATTTGAACTATTCAGAATTTCCAACTTTGGTCTTTTAAGTAAGTTTTTTTTATCTAAATTATCAATTAAATTTTATTTATTAAATAAATAATATTGCATCAATGAAGCTTTATTTATTTCAAAAACATTAAAATATAATTCAGCATTTTTTTTACTATTTGAAATGCAAGAATGTGAAATTTATTCATAATTTTTAAATAGAAAATGTAGAGTTAAATATTAGTTGAAAATGATTGGCCAATTTTTATATGATTTGTATGTTCATAATAATAATGCTTAATAACTCTTGACTTATTGTTTGTTATTTAGTATTTACATTATTGCCTTAATACTCTATAAAATAAATTCCATCACAAATCATAGTCATGGAAAATATAATATTTTAATAATTAGAAAAAATATATTTTTTCATTATTTTGGGTTGAAATAGTCCTACCATATGGTTACAAGTTGTTTTAAATGCATTTGTTTAGGGTTTTCAAAATCATTATGAAATTTGGTTGGCCCAAATTTATTTTGATACTTAATGGCTAAAATTTCTTGCGGCGAAATTTTAGGTTGGAAGAAGATGATTATTAAAAAAATATTATTAAAATTACTCCCGTACAAGCATGCTTAATCTTAGAGTTTCTTAATGAAAATATAACAATTACACTAGAGGACATCTCTATATTTAAGAGTTTAGCTTATTTTACTTAAGAGAAAGAGAAAGACCAAAATACAAGGCTAAACTCAACAAATCAAAGTAAAAAACACTCAGACTCAAGAACTGTCTTGAGCCTTCATACAACCAACACGACATCAGACGAGGACCATCCATTGGAGGCATGAAGCACAGACCAAGCATTAACCCACATCTGAAACAAGGGCCACCAATTAGAATGAAAGAACGAGCCTCCAAGGTTGCGAGCAAGCCAACGACATCCAGTGATTATGCAAAATGCTGCCTCATCATTGTTAGGACTAGTGAAATAAGGCTCATAATTGAGAGACACAGCAGCCAGCATAACAAAAAAGTTGGATAGGAGGACTTAACATCAAAGGACAAATGCCAAAAAAACTAATTATTTCTTTTTTGACCTCTGCCTACAATGTTTTCCAGAACCATGGAATTGGATTTTTTTATCACAATGACTTACATTCAAACTATACCCAAGAAAAGCATCCTCTTGCACATCCAAATCATCTCCAGCATTCCTACAAGGAGACGAGCAAGACCCATCCAACCAATCAGAATGATCCACCAAACTAAGAGTGAATTTGGAAGCCAATTGATTTTTCAATTTATCAGAAGAAATAAGGGTAATGGGGACATCCACTAACGACACATTCACAATTGTTCCCAAATTAACAGTTGAGACTTCATTAGTTACAAAAGAAATGTGAGCATCAAAACTAGGCACTTCAGCATTATTATATACAAGAGAACCCACAGTAGATAGAGGTTGATCATCCAAACCAAACCTAGCATCTTCATTTTCTTGTGGCATAACAGAAATAAATAAATAAATAAATGGTTGTATAAGGTTTTGTTTGTGACAGTTTTCTTACTGCTTTCAAAAGCAGCTTTCTAGTAAAAAAAATTTTAAATTAGAAATTTACTTTAGAAAGCAATAAGAAAGCTATCCCAAATGAAGTCCTAGTTGCACTCTTATATGATAGTTGATGAATCTTTGAAACATGTTATTAAATGAGTAAATTTTCAATATAATTTCATAAGCAAACTACTAAGATATTTTATTAATAAACAAAATATTTAATTAGATCTTAATTTATTATTGTACTTGACAAATGAATTGACTTCCATTTAAATAGTTTAAAATAATAACTAGGCTTCGTTTGGCATAGCTTTAATACTGCTTTCTAAAGCAGTTTTCAAGTACACAATTTTTTATTTCAATAAATTTTTATGCTTTAAAATTGTTTTAAAAATCGGTAAAAAAGCTGTCCCAAATGAAACCTAGACCTCTGCATAATAATAATGCAAATAATACAAATAAATAGTAAATACAATATTTTATGGTCTCATTGCCGCGTAGATTGATAATAGCTTAAGAGAGCTCTTATCCAAACAATTTAAATTAATACAT